GGTTTCGCTAAGGATAGCAGCCTATCAGCAACGCGCGAAGAGGTTCTTCGATTCAAAGGTCAGGCGAAGAGACTTCCAGGTCGGCGACCTTATGTTAAAGGAAGTTCTTCTCGGTACCAGGGAACCAAGTGCGGGAGTGTTAGGACTGAACTGGGAAGGTCCATACCGCATAGACAAAGTGATAAGACCGGGGACTTATCATCTCAAAAGGTTGAACGGTTCCAAAGTATCCCGAGCTTGGAATGCTGAGCACCTTCAACATACTATCAGTAATTCCAAACTCAGTTTTCCTTGTAAATTAATTTGCGATTTGTGTAAATAATTTCCTTGTAAAGTGTTATTTTGTTCGCTTGTAACAACTTTCACGTGTAATATTGTTCGTATAAATGTTCTATCCTGTTCGTATAAACTTGTCCCAATATTGTAAGCAATCAGGAAGTACTCATGTATAATAAAGTGAACAGAACTTGTAAAAGCAAAAATGTATTTCATTAATGAGGAGTACAGCAGGCAAAATGGCATGACTACAAGCCCTGATCCGGCTCCTAGAGGACCAACCTTGTCGTCCTAGGGTTGGTCGGTTGAGGGTTTATCCGAGGCATGTCCCAAACCTCCTGCTTGGGAAGGCACCACTTCATTATCCTCCTGCGCCATGGACATAAGTGTATCCCGCCAGTCCTCCGGGAGGTTGGACATATCAAGTCATGGATTCTTCGGTTGAAAGGCATAGATGGACTCGATCGCCCATTCGACAGCCTTCTCCTCGACCTCCGTTGCCTGATTCTGCATCTCTTCTATCAAGGAAGCAACTTTTCCCTGACTTGCCTGAAGTTCAACTTCGAGAGCTTGCCTTCGCTTCTCGGAGGCGTCCCTCTCTTGTTCTGTTCGCAAGGCTTGCAGAGAGGTTGCTTTGAGCTCCTGGTCCTTCTCCCCAGCCTCCTTGGAGAGTCTGGCTATGGTCCTTTGGAGCTCCTTTATTTCCTCTCCATGCTTCTTGAGTTGCGCTTTTTGGAAGTCTACCGTGCGAAAACTCGCGTCTCTTTCGTTTAGGTACCGATTCGCCGACTCAGAAGACAGGTTTCTCTCTGTTTCGATGGCTTCCAGGTTTCGCTTGAGCGTTGCGTTCTCTTCCTTCAGAGCAACCTCTCCCTTTACGGCTCCCAGTTGAACCTTCTCTAGGGACATTCGCATAGAAAGAAGAGCTTGCGAACAAAGAAAGATAGAGTTAGCTAATCAAAAGAAGCTAAGGGTAATCCTCGCCGAGGACAGTTCGTTCACCTTACTTAAGTGTTAGACCGATGTGGACATTAGGTCCACATCGCTGAAATCTGCGAACTGCTCAAATGATGCCGAGAGCCCGCATTCTAATAAGGCATAAACCACTGGCTGTAGGTACTCCGGCAGCTTCCCCAACGAGTCTAACACTGGAGTATCCTTCTTCGCGCCTTCAGCAATGGTTGTGTCGTCCATCGTTTCCTCACCCAACCTCCTCACGTACGGCTACGACCTGTTGGGTTGATTGCCCTCAGATTCGGTCTCTGACTCTTCGATCTGAATCTGCCTCCTCTTCTTTCGCTGAGCAATTGTCTTCAGCCTCGAGCGAGCAGGCGACGACTGGGAGACCTTCGTGGTCTGTATTGGTGTGTCCTCTAACGGTTGCGGCTAAGGAGTTCCGAAAGGTCGTACTGGTGGGCCCGATGTTACGCCTTCAGCCAAGGGAACGGTTGGAGCAGCATCTGTCGCCTTGGCTTTTCTTAATCGAGGGAAATTGAGCGGCCTTCGTTGCGGCTGCTCTAACTCCTTCGGATGCATGGTCGCTACATGCAAAGCATCGTTAGCAAAGGTATGCCAATTGACGACCAGAAAAGGACCAGTTAACAGGGCTTACTCAATGAGGGCTCTAACGACGCGCTTGCGTTGAAGAAACCATATTTCCGCAAATTCACGGTCGTCACGAGTTTCTTCATGTGGCATTTGTCCTCAGGTAAGGAGCCGAAATGCACAATCCTACATCTATCGAAGAACAGCCCTAAGTCGGTCGTCTTGTTAATTGTCAGAAAGGAATCAGGTCGTTAGAAAAATCACATTTCGAATGCAATGAATTTGTCAGAAAAAAAAAAAAAAGCCTACTCGGTTCGTGGAAGCGGCAATGGTCGTTATAGTGAAAGAAGAAAAACTTCGTTTCATAGGCCCCCACGTTACTTGGGTAACGGTGTATCCCCTTGGCGATAGTAGGTCTCCTGGACAAGTAATAAAAGTCCTTGTCCTTGCTCTTTTTCAAAAAATACGAGCAGCCGAGCTCCGTCGCGGTCAGCTCGCCCAGCCTGTTCTCGTGGCACGTGATGTATATTGCAACAGTAATAACGTACGCGTTTGGAGTTAGCTACATCAGTGCGACCCCGAAGTGGTCCAAAAGCGACCTGATGAAAGGGTGGAAGGGGATCAGTTCCCCACCTTTGATGATCTGCTCGGAGATCGCGGCCAGGCCACTTGACGGATATCGCGATGAGTGTGTCACGTCGAGGAAAACGTTCACCTCGTTACCGTACTGTTTTATTACCCTCTCGAGCTCATCCCCGGTAAGTACCGAGAAGACCTTGAGAGGGATACTTGGAGCACCCCGTGGGGACGAACCGGTTCCCTGCTCGGATCTGGTTATCGGGGGATCCATTTTGCTAGTCTGCAAAAGCGACAAGCAGAAGGGTCATTTAGTCGCCGTACGCTATTTCGCACGATGACGTGGGAGGAACAAACTCCCTAAATCCCTAAGAAAACCCTAACAGCATGATTCGAGCCGCCATTCATGGCTCGAACCTGACACAAGCGTTTCGTCTCCGATTAGTTATCAGAAGACTGACGCCATTTAATCATGGAAAATAATGAAACAAAAACAGAGAAAGGTTCTTACCTCTCGGAGTATGAGAACAGCTTCTGCTTCGAATGCCGGAAAAATGCAGGTTTGGAAAACAAAGGTTCCAGGTTTGCGAAAATCTTTTATTCTCTGTGAAAAAGACTCTGGTGACATTGCCTGAGAAAGATTTGAGGTTTTTATAGTGTAGGAATCGGCGTTTGGATTTCTCGGAATCGAAACGGCATTTAGGCAGTAAAGATTTCTCACCATTGATCACGGCCACATGTCGCACATCAACAGGGAAGAGTGAGCATCACGACTGGAGAAAGTCAAACCTTCATCTTTCCCGTTGAAAAGCTCAAACGACGGTCATCTCTCTTTCTCAGAGCATTAATTGCGTCTCAAATCTACATTTAATGCTTTGATAAGGGGCGTCGTTCCAACGTATAACGCGTTTAATGTTCTGATAAAATGTACTGTGTCAACGTACAACGCATTTAATGCATCCTGCTGGCACTTATACGCGCAAGGCACATCTGTCAGTGCAGAAACTGTTTCATTAAATGCGCCCATATCAAAAGCACAACAGGAGACGTCTAACGAAATCAGGTCACTCGTCCTCTACAAATAATGATCATGCGAGGTCGTGTTCACAAAAAAGTGATGTCCCAACCTACTTACAAAACAGGTCGAAATCACTAGAATTTCCAGAATTTCCAGGAATCATCTAATTGTAGCATGACTTGTAGTTTCCAAGGTTCAATTCTCAAACCTTAAAAACTAGGGGACTTCTGTTATACTTGGGAAAATAGGGTTGACGTGGCGCCCAGTTAAGTGCGAAAGGTCAGACCTCAGGAAGAGTTTATTAACATTTTGGCGCAACCGTGTCGTGTGATGATGCAAGCAGCACACTCCAGTCAGTACAGTGGGTACGCGCTAGACTGAAGAAAGGTTAGAGGATGTACGTGTGTCCAATCCCTGCAGCAAATCACGTGAATTACTCTTGAAGATGGGTAATGTGACATAAAGAAGGATTTGCACGGATCATCCCACCAACTTACAGATTCAGTGATCATTACCTCAATGCATCCCACTATAAGTTGAGAGCTCCTCTCTCATTAAGGGGATTCGCACATTTTTACTCTTGATCAGCCGCTCTCTCTCTCTAGAATAGACAACATTAGATACCTTGTATTACCATTGTAAAGTCAATCAGCTGAGGCGACCTGACCCTTATCAATAATACAAACATCAGTGGATATTGGACTTGCTTCCTTAGTATTCGAACCACTTTAAAAATTGTCCCCATTGCATTTACTATCATTTTCCTTTGCATGCATGTGTGTCTTTTGGACCAGCTCAACATTTTACACGTGTGTTTCGTTGTTGTACAAATCACGCATCAACATATAATAATAATTTATATAGAAGAAAATATATATTTAAATTGTTGGTATTCTTCCTAATGTTTTTTTGTTTTTTTTAATAAATTTAAATAATGGTTGCCGGAGGATTACAATTTCTGAGCTGCCGAGGCTTGATCCTCTGTGTACCAAATTGTCAAACTCTGAACTATTGGAAATGATATTGATGTGTAACTAATGGGGTTGGCAAGTTCCAACTAATTTTAATTAAAACATGACCGTCAGCCACAAATTCAATGCCATGGTGAACCACAAAATAAATTCATTTTCATTTATTAGGCAAATACTTTTCCAGGAAATGAAATTTCTCTAGTGAAATCTAGTCCGTTTGATTTACAGTTAGAAAAGAATAACAAATACAAATTTCTTTATTTTTTTGGGTGATGCTTACTCATATGTTTCTTTTTTTAACGATTCCAGGTGGTGATTTATTGTTTTCATCATTTTATGGGAAATTAAATCTACTGTAATTTTTCTAATCTCTTAGTTTAATTGGTGTATAACCTAATATATGTTTATATATTCGTTAAAATACAGGTAATATTAGTTAGGCACGCCGCACACCTTAGAGATAACAGCAAATTTGGTGTCTACGTCCTTCTCAAACAAAATATAAAATTATGAATTAATTAGTTATTTAAAGATTTTTATTAACAAATTCCTAACCAATAACAATAATAATATAAAATAAAATAATACATAAAACAAAACAACATGACCGGTTCAGTCTTATGGCCATTTGCAGATAACGCCAGGTCAGTATATTAGGGTTTCACATTTCCCTCTCTCCTTGATAATTTGCAGCGACAGAGTCACAGAGCTATAGAGAGAAGAAAGAAAGAGGTGTTAGTCTTTAGGAGATAATGAGAGAGACGAATACGGATCTATTTGACCCGAGAACAGAAATGGACTCCGATTTCTCACGTACTGCATCATCTTCCGATGGAGATTTCGGCTTCGCTTTCAACGATAGCAATTTCTCGGACCGCCTTCTTAGGATCGAGATCATGGGTGAACAGGCAGACAGCAGACCCGACGGTGAGGGCTGTAATAGTATTGCTGATTGGGCCAGGCACCGCAAGAGACGGAGAGAAGATATCAAAAAGGATACCTGTAAGTACTTTCTTCTTAATTTTCATTNTACGGATCTATTTGACCCGAGAACAGAAATGGACTCCGATTTCTCACGTACTGCATCATCTTCCGATGGAGATTTCGGCTTCGCTTTCAACGATAGCAATTTCTCGGACCGCCTTCTTAGGATCGAGATCATGGGTGAACAGGCAGACAGCAGACCCGACGGTGAGGGCTGTAATAGTATTGCTGATTGGGCCAGGCACCGCAAGAGACGGAGAGAAGATATCAAAAAGGATACCTGTAAGTACTTTCTTCTTAATTTTCATTAATTGGTGGTTACGTCTTTGTTTGAATTCCGAGAAGGTTGAGGCAAATGGAAATTAAATATATATAATTTTATAATAATTTGATTATGGAAACCTTTTGTTGGTTCTCAAAGATGAGAAAATAAAACACAATTAGAAATAAGGCGATTAATTTACTTAAAAGGAATTCTCGTCATTTACAACCGACAAATGGTAATGGGTAAATATACGCTTCAAGCTTGTTAATTTTATTTTTCTTTTTTCTTTTCTTGATTTAATGGTAATTATTGTCAAATAATTCCACCTATATCTTAACATTTGCAATGGAATTACGATATTTTGGTTGCTCCTATTTTATATTTTTTTTTTCATAAATTTTGACCTGGAAAAGCTTGGATTGAGTATTTAAGGTTTATTTTACGGTGATTGGAACTTAGCTTTAAGTATCAGTTCATCGTATTAGTTGATAGAGATTTTTATTGAAGATTAGGATTATCACAGTTCTTAGATTGTCACGTTATTTCACATGATGAGTGCCTAAACATTCAGTGAAATCTAGTACTAGCTAGCAATAATATATTTATTAGAAGTACAATGAAAGAATGTGGACTAGCTTATGAGGAAAGCCATATGTTTTGATTGATCAAATTATGTTGGCCTTGATGGAGGTAATGGTGAAAAGGAGTTTGTTGGCCTACTAGTTTGGAGCTTCACTTTCTTAAGCTGAGATGAATTAATTGTTTGCACATTGTACCATTGTATCTTTTTTTGTCAGTTACCCATCAGTAAACCTATGGGTTTTCCTTGATGAAAGGATTGAAATGAGCACTGGTTATTATTGCTTTGTGTTTGCATGGGTATCTGCAAGTATATGTTTATGTATGTGTATTTATTTTGGTTCTCTGGCATACTTCCGGATGGATGTTGATTGACACCTGCAATTCTTTTTCAGCTACGGATCTAACTGTTTTCCCTGAGGAGCAGATTTTAAATGTTAACCAGCCTGATATGGATGATTGTGTGGGCTGTGAAAATCAAGACGAGGAAGTAGAGGCAATGATTGAAGAGTCACCTTCAGGTAGTTATACTTTTTTTAAAAGAAATATTTCTAATGAATGTTGTGCATATCTTTATTATTATTATTTTTAGAAATCCTTATGGGATTTTGTTCAGTCAATTAACTGGAGGCTTCGATAATCTTCGATTCTTTTTCTTCCCCTCTCTCATACGGTAATCATACAAAATCTAAAAGGAGGACATAGACTTGGGCTTTAGTTAGCCAAAATTCAAAAGATGAGTGAGCTGAATATGTTATGGAAAAGATGATAGAGATCTTTTTTTTATTAATGCTGCTGCAGTAGGCTGTCAGCAAAACATTTGTGGATTGCTAGCTTTTGGACTGAATTATTTGCTTATGGGGTTTCCATGATTTTATTCTAAACTGTTGCGTCTAAGCTACTTTTATGACATTAGAAACTCTTGTTACTTATTTACGTGCAATATATTGATTTTATAAATTACTAGTGTTTCTCTTGTGAGGAGAGTAATCCATTGCTTTTGCATCATTATGTACAATCTAAGCCTTTGTCAAATTTGTTTAGGTGACGAAGCTGTAAATGGCAATGAATCAAGTTGGAGCATGGATTGTTCTACAGTTGTGAGAGTTAAAACATTGCACATAAGTTCTCCTATTTTAGCAGCAAAAAGTCCTTTTTTCTACAAGGTACAGTTGTTATCATTATTATTGATTTTTAATCTAAGGTAGTTTTAAATGTTCCTTCTTGCTATGATCCCTGGTAGGTGGTTTCTTATTGATTTCCTTCTTTATTTGTTGTAGCTCTTCTCAAATGGGATGAAGGAGTCAGAGCAGCGACATGTAACCCTCCGAATCAATGCATCTGGTATAGTCAAATCACAAAAGCTAGTACATACTGAAGCAATTATTTGTCTTTGTCGAATTTCTTTATTATTTGTGCAGTTTTGAACATATTTTTTATTTTCATTTGTCCTAAGTTCATTGTTAGTTGTATTCGTAGTCAATTGTAAATTTGACAATTGTCACCAGATGAAGTTGGCTCACAATTTCTGTACCCTTTTTTTTTTCTCTGGAACAGAGGAAGCTGCCCTCATGGAGCTCCTGAATTTTATGTATAGCAATACCTTATCGACCACTACTGCTCCTGCTTTGCTTGATGTGCTAATGGCTGCCGACAAATTTGAAGTTGCTTCATGCATGAGATACTGCAGTCGACAATTGAGAAATATATCCATGACACCAGAGTCTGCATTGCTTTATTTAGAGCTTCCTTCCAGTGTCTTAATGGCTGAAGCAGTCCAGCCATTGACTGATGCTGCAAGGCAGTACCTTGCATGCCGTTATAAGGACATGAGCAAGTAAGTTCCTTCTTTACCAGTGATGTTTCCTTGACTTGAAATTGGAGATTTTTAACCATTATAATGGATGTATTATCTAGTACTAATGCTGCAGAGAAACTATGGTGTGTTAATGTTTTGTGGTTTGGAGGCTTATTTGAGGTTTGTACTTTTCGTCAGGTTCCAAGAAGAGGTAATGGCTTTGCCCCTAGCTGGAATTGAGGCAATATTGTCTAGTGATGACCTTCAAATTGCATCAGAAGATGCAGTATATGATTTTGTGTTGAAGTGGGCCAGAACCCAGTACCCTAGAGTGGAGGAGAGGAGGGAAGTTTTGGGTTCACGTCTTGCACGATTTATTCGCTTTCCTTTTTTAACCTGCCGGAAGCTGAAGAAGGTTCTAACCTGTAGTGACTTTGATCATGATGTTGCATCCAAGGTAGTGCTTGAGGCACTGTTTTTTAAAGCAGAAGCCCCACATCGGCAAAGAACATTGGCTGCAGAGGAGGCTGTCACAGTGAATCGTCGGTTTGTTGAACGTGCATACAAGTATCGGCCTGTTAAGGTGGTGGAATTTGAACTTCCTCGGCAGCAATGTGTAGTGTACTTGGACTTGAAGCGGGAAGAGTGTGCTAATCTGTTTCCATCCGGGCGGGTGTATTCTCAGGCATTCCACTTGGGTGGACAAGGGTTCTTCTTGTCTGCTCACTGCAACATGGACCAGCAAAGCTCTTTTCATTGTTTTGGCCTGTTTCTGGGGATGCAGGAGAAGGGATCAGTGAGTTTTGCTGTGGATTATGAGTTTGCGGCACGGTCAAAGCCAACTGAGGAGTTCGTTAGCAAATACAAAGGTAACTATACCTTCACTGGAGGAAAGGCAGTTGGGTACAGAAACTTATTTGCCATACAATGGACCTCCTTCATGGCTGAAGACAGTCTTTACTTCATAAATGGAATACTCCATCTTAGGGCTGAGCTTACCATCAGGCACTAACTCTTTGCTTTCCGTTATTCCCCTGGCTTCCTAATGAAATTGATTTTTGTAGCACTGACCTCTTTCATCTCTCGACTGGAACTGAACTTAAAAATGTAATAAGTAGGCACAGCATGCACTAGATACTTTGGTATGGAGGTTGATATACAATTAGAAAATCCCCTTTGCTCTAGGCTGAATCGTGCTTGGAAAGTGAGTGGTGGAAAAAAAATGTATATGTGTAGGGGTCTGTGGTCCTGACTGGTTTGTTTCAGTTTAAGAGTGCAGCTCTTGAGAACCAAACAATTCTACTGTTATTATCTGTGGTTTGAATTTCGATAAGGTATTAGTAAGCAAACATGGTTCTCACTTCTCACCGTAACAAAACAATTCTAAATCGTGTTACGTGCCTGGGCTTTGATTCAATTTGTTTGTTAGATTTGGTCATTTTTCACCTTCAGAAAGCGTGTGAAGTTTGATTGTTTGTTATTAATGTGAAAATCTCTCCTGATAGCGTGTTGGTTTTGAATTGATAGGCAGGAGAATCCTGATTTACACTACTTTCATCCTGAGTAACACAAGAACCAGTGTCGCGTGTAATTAAATAAATTAGTTTGTTCTTTCCTTCCATCCATCTTCCAAGGATCATAATTCTCCAAGATACTTGTTTCCATTAAACTAAATTAACAATTTAAATTTAGTATATTTTCAAATTATGAAAAAAAAAAAACCTGGACCTTGCAATATAAATTATATAATGAGTAAATGTAATTTTGCACGTTGAAAATCATTAGTATTTATTTTTAATTTTCATTTAAAATGAACATTTAATTTGAATCTTTATCAAGTTAATTTTTTAATTCATTTTCATTTATTTTTCATCGTCATATCTATTTGCAAGATATGATTATACTGAAGGGGCGTTTGGTTGGAGGTAATAGAAGATTGTTGGGGTTATGTCATCTTATATTACTTGATTACTATGTTTGGTTGTCAAGTAATATAAGATATCAGTAATCTTGTATTACCAATAATTGTTATTGTTGGTAATATTGGAGGTAATATGATTACTTCTATTTTTTTAAGTATTGTAAAATTACCTTGATAATCTTATTTTTATTACAAATCTATCATTATTAATAAAAAATTTGGATAATAATGCCCTTGTTTTAAAATAAATTTACATTAATATATTATTTCAATTTTACCCTTGTTTAATTAAGCTTTTGAACAATAATACCCTTATATTTATCACAAATTATAGACCACCACCGACAGCGGGCCAACACCATGGATCGCCGCCGAAAAGTCGTCGGAGTCCCTAAAATTGACTGAGATTTGCTGGGAGGCTCCGGGAGGCTTCGATATGGCCGTTTATAGCCATATTGATGGCCAAAAACAGCAATATCAGGCCAGATCTATTCTGGCCATTTCCAGCCAGATCCCTAGCCTTTATTGACCAAATCTGGTCGATAATGGCCAAGGATCTGGCCTGATATGGCCTTTTTTGGCCAGAAACGGCTATATCGGAGCCTCGTGGTCACGGTGATCTACTCACGACGACTTTCGAAGACTTCCAGTGGAGGTTTGCAGTGGCGACAGGCGGCAGCAGGGGTGGGGGTGATTTTGTCATAAATTAAATTTTTATATAAGGTGTTTTAGCTAAATCTGAAATATTGGAGGTTAAAAAATTATTTAAAAATAATATTATATTAATATTAAAAAAGAGGGCAATTTAGTAATCTAAATAACATACCCACAAATTTATTCCCCATAACCAAACATATTAATATAACATATCCACCAACCAACCAAACACATTTTCCTAAAGATTTCCAGTAATCTTAAAGGTAATATAAGATTTCAGTAATCTAACATTCCCTGAACCAAACGCACCCTGAATGAAATTTGTTTGATTTATTTTTTGTCAAGCACTGCCACTGCTGAGATAATTATAACTTAATATGTTTTTTTACGAGGTAAATTTAGTATTATGATTGATGACTGAGGAATAGCCAGAGCTGGATCGATTACCAGTTATTCCTGAAATTTTAGGTTCCTGATATCTATCCAACCCACAAAAGCATTCACAGAAACCATACACATCCAATTGTCACATTTTATTCCATGAACAAATTGAGACATACAACCATGAAAGATATCCATTCAGAGCCTACTCTACATTACAGGATACAAATGCCTCTTATGCAGGGCCAAAATAAACTATGATCGGAAACAAATATAAATTGCTACCAGATCATATGTGATATCTATTCAGTTCCAGCAATCTTCTTCTTCAATGCTTCAATATCCGTGGCCAGTTCTTTTCTGCTAGACTGAAGAAATAATTCAAGTCGTTAGAATTCAATTATCTTAAATGCATGAAACAAATTACTAATCTTTCTAATTTCATTCACATCAAGCCGAAAGGAATATATCTAGAACTGTGAAGTTTGAGCCAAACGCGATTTCGAACACATGCCATACCTCTTTTCCCAAGCAATGGGTATTGTTTCATCAAGTTCAGAGCTAATATATACAAATTTCCAGTGCTGTTGAAAATATTTGGTTTAAACATCTAAATAGACAAATGTTCCCTTTTCATAATGCGGATTCGGTATAATTCAATGTAACAACCCATTTCTACAACCCATAATGCGGATTCAGTATATCAGCATAATATTGATTTTAAGAATCACCCGAGAAAACATGAAACTAAACGCATGTGAGTTTTGGCTGTCTCTTAATCTTACCTTGAAGAGAAGGTATCTGTATACAAACCATCCAGTATAACCAAGCCCAACTAGCTCCATGATCTTAGGAAGCTGGTAAGATTAACCAAAAAAGAAATTCAGATTGGTTCCTTGATATTCGGGAAAGAGAAGAAAAAGGATAACAGGTTTACATGTAAACAATAAATCATGACAAAGCAGTTGAAAACTTTTAAGGACATTAGTATCGTCAAGAATACCAAATAAACGAGAGAAAAGGATGCCTTATTTTAGAAAGCACATACCAATGGGATTGAATTGATGGCACCAACAATCGTTGAGGATAGCCAAACGGCAACAATTGCCCCGCCTCCATAAAGAATTACTGTGGACTTGTTTTCAACTGCATCCCACTATTAAACATAAGCAAAGAAAAAAAAAAGTTAACGGTGGATAATCCAATTCGATTAAGAAGGTTGAATTTACATAAGCCAAAAAGGTGTACACAAGGGATAAGGCATTCCTCCATAGTTCCACTTGTCAGCTTTGATTCTCACCTTTTCCTTCAAGTCTGTAAAAAGTTCACTAGCATCAACAGGACTCTCTTCTGAAGAAGCTCTGGTCTGGAGTGAAGAAAACCTTCGGGACTCTTATTTGAGAGGCAAAGAAGTATCAGCACAAAGATTTATAATTTTAAAGCAACTTGCTCAAACCAATGATGGGGAAATTAGCTCAATCATGAATTATAACAATATTCAAGTTCCTCAAACACTTCAAACAGTGTCCTCATTATGTGTAATCTAGACATTTGAGTTCACTAGGTTTTTTTTTTTTTTTTCTTGCATTACGAAAGGTGTCCAGACCAGCTTATGCACATCTGAACTAATCCTCAGACCCTAAAGTTAACTACCAGATAATCCTCTAGTGACCACCTTTATTAGCAACCAATATGAATCAAGAACTGTTCAGTAATACACGTAAGAGTCTCAGTTCACCACTCGGCCACCTAGGGTTGCTCATAAGGTAGGTAGACTATATCTCAGGAAAAATAAAATAAAATTCTTTTGAGCCCTTACTTTCAGTTGTTAGTTTAAAATTTATGTGCAAAGATTTGATTTCTAAAGCAGGAGACATAAGAAGTGAGTGAATCTTCGCAATTCGCGCGCTACAGTGCAATCCCCATGGAAATACAAGGGGAGAGTCAATAATCAAACAACAATTTCATTATTAGCTATATAATTGAAACAACATTATCATCCACCTTCCAAGTCCTAAATTATTGTTCTCCAACTAAATTTTTTGCTATTACCAACCACAAAACCACCCTTAATAAGTTTTTCAGTATTGTTTCTGCAAGTAACCCAACATTGATACATAGTTGAACTTTCACTAAGCAACAAAAATGCAAGCTTGTAAACATAACAATATTAACAAATGTGTGTTGTACCTGAAACTTGTTTAATGGAAGAAGAGAAAGATGAGACAGACAAACGAGGAGGAAGATAAGGAAGAGCAGAGCAGCAAGGGGATTTGACAGTGGAGGTGATGCAGACACGTGGAGTCAACACAGCAGTGGCCGCCGCATACGCCGTCGCTGCCATTTGATTGATAATTTGTTGAGGAGAGTGATACTCTTATCTTGACTTTAGATTTTCTGTTTCTGGTTTATAATATTTTTGTTTTAATTATGGATATTTTATTGTTATATTTCGGACACCGATTCCTCTGTTTGACACGTGGATCATCTCGTCATTTTGATTGGCTACTTCTCTATCTGTAATCCACGTTTGAGGGGTCTCTAGTAGGTGGCTTAGGCTACTAGAGAGAGTCCGGATTGCCTGCGGTACCGAGTAGAGATTCGTTTTGTGTTGAGTTCACTACGTATTGTTACATGTGCAAACGACTTGTCGTTTAATTTTGTTTATATTTTGCCATCTGTCTTGTAATCGCCATCAATAATGTCATTATCCATTTTACTATCCATCTTATTAACTTTTGTAAATACAAAGTATAATAAAGATATCATAAGCATAATATAGATATCATATATAATTTTAACAAAGATGAATAAGACGGTTAATAAGTTCATAAATAAATATAACATTATTGGATATTTTATAACGTATCGTCATTTGTTGTACAATCCCAATACACAATCGGATCAACTGATTCCCTTCCATTTCTTAAACGCGGTATTTTGAAGTATTCCAAACGACCCTGATTACTTATTCAACTGATTTGTCATTAACATTTCAATCAGTACATAAGCATCACATAAAAAATGTATAATATTATTTCTTTTTAAACTTTTAATGCTAATCAATTAATTAATTAATCATGTGTAATGAAGACTAATAAGAGACCAAATCATATTAAACATTACTTTTTGGTGGTAGAGTGATTCAATAGAAACTTTTGGATGTATTATTCAAAAAAATTTTGAATTCAAGTTCTTCTCCAATTATTAATAAGAATAGTCATTAGAATTCTTATCCGACTAATAGTTTTAAAATCTAAAAAAATTAGTCAAAATATCCTCGATCATATAAAAAAAAAATTCATTAAACTGATATAACTGACAACTTAACAGGACATGAATGTTTTTGGCAACAAGTGATGTGAGATTGGGCCGGACTTTTCTCCATTTAGGTTGACTGAGTAATTGGAGAATTTACGTTAAGCATAACTTTCCAAATGTCAGGGGGCGACCTCGTAATAGCCTTTACCCAACAAGAAGAAATGATGGTTTCATTTGTAAGTTGTGTTTTTATAATATAAAAATAAGTAAATAGGTTAGAATGGAGAGTAACGATTTTAATTAAATTAAAAAGAAGATTTGATTTTGACCAAAATGGCATGGCTAAAATTAAGAAATCTAATTATGGAGGTTTTGTGTCTTCACTTGCGGAGATACCGTCCCAAGGCTTCGTTGGCACCGTCGGGTCACAACAAGTTGTTTCTCACTAACCAACTAACCCAACTGAAGAGGAATCAAAAGCAATAACAAATACAAAACTAAAAGATATGGAAACCACCATAACCCAACTCAAAAGGATTCTTTCTTTTTTCTTTTTCTAATGGTGCTGCCAGTCTAATATGAATTTAATATTCTTGTTACTATAACATTCTTGCATTCATTAATATTGCTAGGTTTTCCAACTCACCCACTTACTCTTAGACAAAAGCCAAGAACATCACGACGACGAACCAATTATCTTTTGAAGAATTCAGACCGATTCCCTATCAATCTCTTCTTTTTTTCTAAGGTGATTTTGGTTTACCTATTCTCAACAAAGCCTTTTAATAGATGATTCTTGCGTTGCATGCAATATTAAATTCCACTTGTTTTGGTGCAAAACTTTCATTGAGGAAGGATCCTTTTTCGTGGGTGTGGTCTCCATTTCTTGTTTATATAAAAGAAGAAGAAGAAAGCTAGCTTTGGTCATCAATTATTTTCCAGCCTAGCTGAAATTGAAAGAAGATGGATCTTGGTGATTCGTATCTTCTTGAAAATCGTTCGACATGAAAATCACAAGTAAGCTTCGATGGACATACAATGGGATTGAATTGATGGCACCAACAATCGTTGAGGATAGCCAAACGGCAACAATTGCCCCGCCTCCATAAAGAATTACGTGGACTTGTTTTCAACTGCATCCCACTATTAAACATAAGCAAAGAAAAAAAAAGTTAACAGTGGATAATCCAATTCGATTAAGGAGGTTGAATTTACATAAGCCAAAAAGGTGTACACAAGGGTAAGGCATTCCTCCATAGTTCCACTTGTCAGCTTGATCCTCACCTTTTCCTTCAAGTCCGTAAAAAGTTCACTAGCATCAACAGGACTCTCTTTTGAGAAGCTCTGGTCTGGAGTGAAGAAACCTTCGGGACTTTTTAGAGGCAAAGAAGTATCAGCACAAAGATTTAAATTTTAAAGCAACTTGCTCAAACCAATGATGGGGAAATTAGCTCAATCATGAATTATAAATATATCAAGTTCCTCAAACACTTCAAACAGTGTCCTCATTATGTGTAATCTAGACATTTGAGTTCACTAGGTTTTTTTTTTTTTTCCTTGGGGACAAAGGTGTCCAAGCCAGCTTATGCGCATCTAACTAATTCCTAAGCCCTAAAGTTAACTACCGGATAATCCTCTAATGAATACCTTTATTAGCAAATCAATAATCTTCAGTAATACACTAAGAGTCTCAATTTACCACTCGGCCACCTAGGGTTGCTCATAAGGTAGCTAGACTACATCTCAGGAAAAATAAAATAAAATTCTTATCAGAAAGCGTGTGAAGTTTGATTGTTTGTTATTAATGTGAAAATCTCTCCTGATAGCGTGTTGGTTTTGAATTGATAGGCAGGAGAATCCTGATTTACACTACTTTCATCCTGAGTAACACAAGAACCAGTGTCGCGTGTAATTAAATAAATTAGTTTGTTCTTTCCTTCCATCCATCTTCCAAGGATCATAATTCTCCAAGATACTTGTTTCCATTAAACTAAATAAACAATTTAAATTTAGTATATTTTCAAATTATTAAAAAAAAAAAACCTTGACCTTGCAATATAAATTATATAATAAGTAAATGTAATTTTGCACATTGAAAATCATTAGTATTTATTTTTAATTTTAATTTAAAATGAACATTTAATTTGAATCTTTATCTAGTTCATTTTTTAGTTCATTTTCATTTATTTTTCATCGTCATATCTATTTGCGAGATATGATTATACTGAGGGGGCGTTTGGGTTGGAGGTAATGGAAGATTATTGGGGTTATGTCATCTTATATTACTTGATTACCATGTTTGGTTGTCAAGTAATATAAGATATATGTAATCTTGCATTACCAATAATTGTTACTGTTGGTAATATTGGAGGTAATCTGATTACTTCCATTTTTTTAAGTATTGTAACTTGTTAGATTACTTTGATAATTTTATTTTTATCACAAATCTATCCCTTATTAATAAATTTTTTTGATAATAATGCCCCTGTTTTAAAATAAATTTACATTAATATACTATTTCAATTTTACCCTTGTTTAATTAAGTTTTTAGACAATAATGCCATTATATTTAAAACAAATTACAGACCACCACCGTCACCCACCCACCACCACGGACCGCTGCTGGAAAGTCATCGGAGTCCCTAAAAATGACCAAGATTCGTGGGAGACTCCGAGAGGCTTCGACCATTATCAACAAGATCTCACCCAGATTTGGCCTATAATGGCCAAGGATCTGGCTTGATATGGCTAGAAACACCCATATTAGAGCCTTGTGGTTACGGTGAGCTACTCACGGTGACTTTCGGAGACTTCCGACGGAGGTTTGAGGTGGCGACAGGGGTGGGGGTGATTTTGTTATAAATTAAAGTTTTATATAAGTGGGGTGTTTTAGCTAAATCTGAAATATTGGGAGTTAAAAAATTATTTAAAAATTAATAATAAAAATAATATTATATTAATATTTAAAAAGAGGGTAATTTAGTAATTTAAATAACATACCTACCAATTTATTCCCCTAACCAAACATATTAATATAACATACCCACCAACCAACCAAACACATTTTCCTAAAGATTTCCAGTAATCTTAAAGGTAATATAAGATCCCAGTAATCCAACATTCCCTTAATTAAACGCATCCTGAATGGAATTTGTTTGATTTATTTTTTGTCAGGCACTGCCACTGTTGAGATAATTATAACTTAATATGTTTTTTTATGTGGTAAATTTAGTATTATGATTGATGACTGAGGAATAGCCAGAGCTGGATGAATTACCAGTTATTCCTGAAATTTTAGGTACCTGATATCTATCCAACCCACAAAAGCATTCACAGAAACCATACACATCCAATTGTCACATTTTATTCCATGAACAAATTGAGACATACAACCATGAAAGATATCCATTCAGAGCCTACTCTACATTACAGGATACAAATGCCTCTTATGCAGGGCCAAAATAAACTATGATCGGAAACAAATATAAATTGCTACCAGATCATATGTGATATCTATTCAGTTCCAGCAATCTTCTTCTTCAATGCTTCAATATCCGTGGCCAGTTCTTTTCTGCTAGACTGAAGAAATAATTCAAGTCGTTAGAATTCAATAATCTTAAATGCATGAAACAAATTACTAATCTTTCTAATTTCATTCACATCAAGCCGAAAGGAATATATCTAGAACTGTGAAGTTTGAGCCAAACGCGATTTCGAACACATGCCATACCTCTTTTCCCAAGCAATGGGTATTGTTTCATCAAGTTCAGAGCTAATATATACAAATTTCCAGTGCTGTTGAAAATATTTGGTTTAAACATCTAAATAGACAAATGTTCCCTTTTCATAATGCGGATTCGGTATAATTCAATGTAACAACCCATTTCTACAACCCATAATGCGGATTCAGTATATCAGCATGATATCGATTTTAAGAATCACCCGAGAAAACATGAAACTAAACGCATGTGAGTTTTGGCCATCTCTTAATCTTACCTTGAATAGAAGATATCTGTATACAAACCATCCAGTATAACCAAGCCCAACTAGCTCCATGATCTTAGGAAGCTGGTAAGATTAACCAAAAAAGAAATTCAGATTGGTTCCTTGATATTCGGGAAAGAGAAGAAAAAGGATAACAGGTTTACATGTAAACAATAAATCATGACAAAGCAGTTGAAAACTTTTAAGGACATTAGTATCGTCAAGAATACCAAATAAACGAGAGAAAAGGATGCCTTATTTTAGAAAGCACATACCAATGGGATTGAATTGATGGCACCAACAATCGTTGAGGATAGCCAAACGGCAACAATTGCCCCGCCTCCATAAAGAATTACTGTGGACTTGTTTTCAACTGCATCCCACTATTAAACATAAGCAAAGAAAAAAAAAAGTTAACGGTGGATAATCCAATTCGATTAAGAAGGTTGAATTTACATAAGCCAAAAAGGTGTACACAAGGGATAAGGCATTCCTCCATAGTTCCACTTGTCAGCTTTGATTCTCACCTTTTCCTTCAAGTCTGTAAAAAGTTCACTAGCATCAACAGGACTCTCTTGAAAAAAGGGACTCCCTTGAGATTTATTTTGGTCTGGAGTGAAGAAAACCTTCGGACTCTATTTAGAGGCAAAGAAGTATCAGCACAAAGATTTAAATTTTAAAGCAACTTGCCAAACAATGATGGGGAAATTAGAGCAATCATGAATTATACAATATTCAAGTTCCTCAAACACTTCAAACAGTGTCCTCTATGTGTAATCTAGACATTTGAGTTCACTAGGTTTTTTTTTTTTTTTCTTGGTAGAAAGGTGTCCAGACCAGCTTATGCACATCTAACTAATCTCAGAACCCTAAAGTAATACAGATAACCTCTAGTGACCACCTTTATTAGCAACAATATGATCAAACTTTCAGTAATACAATAAGAGTCTCATTACCACTCGGCCACCTAGGGTTGCTCCTAAGGTAGTAGACTATATCTCAGGAAAATAAAATAAAATTCTTGAGCCCTTACTTTCAGTTGTTGTTTAAAATTTATGTGCAAAGATTTGATTTCTAAAGCAGGAGACATAAGAGTGAGTGAATCTTCGCAATTGCGCGCTACAGTGCAATCCCCATGGAAATCAAGGGGAGAGTCAATAATCAAACACCATTTCATTATTAGCTATATATTGAAACAACATTACATCCACTTCCAAGTCCTAAATTATTGTTCTCCAACTAAATTTTTGTCATTACCAACCAAAAACCACCCTTAATAAGTTTTTCAGTATTGTTTCTGCAAGTAACCCAACATTGATACATAGTTGAACTTTCACTAAGCAACAAAAAATGCAAGCTTGTAAACACAACAATATTAACAAGTGTGTGTTGTCCTGAAACTTGTTTAATGGAAGAAGAGAAAGATGAGACAGACAAACGAGGAGGAAGATAAGGAAGAGCAGAGCAGCAAGGGGATTTGACAGTGGAGGTGGTGCAGAAACGTGGAGTCAACACAGCAGTGGCCGCCGCATCGCCGTCGCTGCCATTTGATTGATAATTTGTTGAGGAGAGTGATACTCTTATCGCTAGATTTTCTGTTTGGTTATAATATTTTGTTTTAATTATGGATATTTTATTGTTATATTTCGGACACCGTTCCTCTGTTTGACACGTGGATCATCTCGTCATTTGATGGCTACTTCTCTATCTGTAATCACGTTTGAGGGGTCCTAGTAGGTGGCTTAGGCTACTAGAGAGAGTCCGGATTGCCTGCGGTACCGAGTAGAGATTCGTTTGTGTAGTTCATTACGTATTATTACATGTGCAAACGACTTGTCGTTTAATTTTGTTTATATTTGCCATCATCTGTATTGTAAGCATCACTTGAATTTTATAACGTATGTTATTTGCTGTACAATCCCAATACACAACCGGATCAATGATTCCCTTCGATTCTTAAACGCGGTGTTTTGAAGATTCCAAACGACCCTGATTACTATTCAACTGATTTGTCATTAACATTTCATCAGTACATAAGGTCACATAAAATGTACAATATTTATTTTTTTTAATTTTAAATTTTAATGTAATCAATTAATTAATTAACACGTGTAATGAAGACTAATAAGAGACCAAATCACCTTAAATTACTTTTTGTTGTAGAATGGTTCAATATAAACTTTGGGTGTATTATCAAAAGTTTGGTTCGAATCTTATCTAGTTGTTAATAAGTAATATTAGAAATCTTATCCGATCGATATTTAAATTCAGAAAAATAGTCAAAACATATAAAATGACTCAAACACTTCGATCATATAAAAAAAAATTCATAAATCGTATAACTGAACTTAACAGGACTGAGCAGTTTTTGGTAACAAGTGAGTGGGATTGGGCCGGACTTTTCTCCATTTAGGTTGACTGAGTATAGCAGAAATTACGTAAGCAAACTTTCCAAATGTCATAAGGGGCCGGCCTCGTAATAACCTTTACCAACAAGAAGAAATGATGGTTTCATTTGTAAGTTGTGTTTTTATAATATAAAAATAATAAATAGGTTAGAATGGAGAGTAACGATTTTAATTAATAAAAAGAAGATTGATTTTGACCAAAAGCATGGCTAAAATTAAGAAATCTAATTATGGAGGTTTGTGTCTTCACTTGCGGAGATACCGTCCCAAGGCTTCGGGCACCGTCGGGTCACAACAAGTTGTTCCACTAACCAACAACCAACTGAAGAGGAATCAAAAGCAATACAAATACAAAACTAAAGATATGGAAACACCATAACCCAACTCAAAAGGATTCTTTCTTTTCTTTTTCTAATGGTGCTGCCAGTCTAATATGTTAATATTCTTGTTACTATAACATTCTTGCATTCATTAATTATGCTAGGTTTTCCAACTCACCCACTTACTCTTAGACAAAAGCCAAGAACAACACGACGACGAACCAATTATCTTTTGAAGAATTCAGACCGATTCTCTATCAACTCTTCTTCTTTTTCTAAGGTGATTTGGTTACCTATTTCAACAAAGCCTTTTATAGATGATTCTTGCGTTGCATGCAATATTAAATTCCACTTGTTTTGGTGCAAAACTTTCATTGAGGAAGGATCTTTTTCGTGGGTGTGGTCTCCATTTCTTGTTTATATAAGAAGAGAAGAAGAAAGCTAGCTTTGGTCATCAATTATTTTCCAGCCTAGCTGAAATTGAAAGAAGATGGATCTTGGTGATCGTATTTCTTGAAAATCGTTCGACATGAAAATCACAAGTAAGCTTCGATGGAGTCTTATAGAAAAGGGTTTATCATCTGCGTGTTTGTTTGTTTTTTGTTATCGTCAATGGCGTATGGGTTTAATACAGTGATGTTGACTTATTAGATGATTTATTTCATAGTTGCGAAGAAACACTTCCAAAACATCATACAGGTCGTCTGTTCAATATTTCCTCCCTTCTAACTACAGCGGTATGCACCTTTCGGCTTTTAGACTACGTAGCTGGACATTTTGGACAAGTGGAGCAAATTACAATTCCATTAATATCCACCAAGGGTTGTTACAACACCTTACGCCAAAAGGATAGCTATAGTCTATGAAAATTTAGGAAATTGGTCTTCTCTTACTTTGGAGTGCGGAATTATTCCATGGTGACTCCAGTGGTTGGCTTCATGTTTATGATGCTTCAAATTCAAAAAATTTAGGCAATGAGGAGCTAGTTTTCCCTTAAAGGAGATGATCTTATCAATGTTACTTTTCCCGACTTTGTTGTCGGCGATAAAAATGTAACACCACGTGTGGATTTGGTTTGTAAAACAATTCAATAACCAAATGAGTGAGCCAAATGTGTGCGCTACTAAGTGTTAGGGCGGTTTTGCGATTATAATCCATCTCCGCCACCTCCTCCAGATGATGAAGTGAAGAAACCGAGGCTGAGAAACGGTGGGTGATAATTTGTGAGTGTATTTGGTGGGATGGCTGTGTTAATTTGGTGGAGTGGTTATATATAAGGGTTAAAAGAGGAAGATGAAAAAAATGGAGGGTGAAGCTGACAAAGGAGTTGCTTAGATATAACATGGATTGGAAGAAGTAAAATGCCTTCAGCATCAATGGTAGAACACAGCCAGCCCTTGAACAAGAGTATGCTCCTAACACATGCCCACTTATTACTTTTGTACATTTTTCCCCCCATTTTTACATTGTTTTTTAATTTTGATCAGATTGATGATTTTTTTTTTTTTTTTTTAAAGTACTAATTTGCAGTACTTTATTTTCATTTGTGCTTACACTTTGATTGCGAGAATCGATAGAAATTAATTAATCTCGATTAAAAAAGAAAAAAAGGGGTACACAGTTTCATTGGCATCTGTGGTAGAACTATTGTTCAGAGCATATTGTACGTTTTTTAATTATAGTTCAGATAAATTTGCTATATGGGTAGGAGTAACTAGAAAAGCAAAAGCATGGGCTGGTCTTTCAGAAGACGGCGCTTGGCTTTTGTGCCTGTATCATTCATCAACATAAACGTAAAAGAGGATTTACCAGATATATCTCCTCTATGTAGCGTATCAGATCAAGGTGAGACACTTTTAATTAGTTTATTTGATGGTGTAGATAGAATTATTATTGTGGTTTAAACCAACACTATTGATGATAAGAAACATTTTATTATTGATTATTGTTAGATAATACATCCTTAAAAATAGGATCAAGCTATAGGATGTAGATCACAGAGCTTGTTAATGGAAAAGGAGGATCAAAAGCGAGCCATGAGAATGGCCTTTGTCATAATTAAGTTTGCAGCTTCAGTGGCGTGTATTCCATCCCAGCTTACATAATTGAATGGGTCATACAGGCTGTGGCTGTTACACTCTTTCCATTAATCACCTTGCTATTTCCACAAAAAAACACCACATCAAAATTATAGGCACAACAAGCCTCGGGACCATAAGTAAGTCCTGCCAAAACAATTCATATTAATTTGTAACACATATATACATATGATAATATATTTTTTAGTAGTGGGTGAATAAAATAAAAGTTTTACCATAAGCTGTTGGGTGTCGAAAGAGGTCTAGGAATATGGAATGGAGGTCAACATAAATGAGGTTAGCTTTTGGAAGATCTTTTCTCATTTGGTCTAGTGTCGCTTCAACATGTTATTATAATCCACCACAGCCTTGTTGTAAGAAAGCAAGCAACCATCGTCGATATCGTACTGTTGTTGTGAAGCTCCACTAAAATGAGGATAACAACCAATTGGTGCAAGATTCAATACAAAAAATGGCGTCCACCAAATGCATATATCTCCTGGAAATGGAAATTTGATAGAAGAAAATTAATAGTATTAACAGTATTGAAAAATAATTTAGAGGGTTCAGCCATTATTATCACACCTTGATTGTCCAAGCAATTGTGTTAATCACATCAGGAAGAAACTTCTTCACACCACTTACACCAATAGCTGCTAATTGGGATGTAAATCATTTTGCCGATAAGAATTATATATAGATTTTCCAAAGACATGGTGAAGGCAGCTTCGTTGAGCCTAAGAAACAAACATTTTTTTTTTTAAGTAATTTACGTAGAAAATTATAGTAATTGAAACTAGAATGGTTTTAATATAATCCCTGTTTTACCAGAGGAGTGAATTCCTCCACTCTAGTCTTGAAATTTTTCATTGGTTGAGTTGGAAGCCAAGGAAAATGGCTGAGCCCACAAAAAAAGGAAGTTAGGCAATAGAACTGTTGAAGCCGCCGTAGCATAATTGGCTCCATGTCTGAATTGATCCCATTGATTGTAATATGGGTCTATGTATGGAAATCCAAGAGCTTAGCTGTCAAATGACAAAAAAAAAAACAAAAAATTGTGGTAATCAAATTAGATCAATTTAAAATGTTAAAAAAAAAAAAAAAAAAGTTTCAGAAAGAGAAGGCGAAAGAGATCGTCGTGGAAGTAGTATTTGTCATCAAGAAAAACTCCAGCCTGGAGGACTAAATGCTCAATATATGCCAAAACTCTATGGACTCTCCTTTGAACTGTACCCCATTACCTAATCCAACTTTTCAACTTTTTCATCAATATCCTTCATTGCACCGGTGGAGATTTCTAATGATTAAAATCTTGTTTGGTATTCTGTTAAGGGAATGGATCGAGAAGAAAGTTGTCTGTGATTTTTCTATAAAATGATGGGAATGACCTTTGGTTATTAAAAATATGTTTTGAAATGTCAGTTCACGTTAAGTGTATTTATATAAAAAGTACAAACAAACATGATGCATTCTTGTAGGGATTTTCCCTTTAGATTAGTTCCCAATAATATTTTCCGGCTGTCAAAGATGGCATGATCCAAATAATAACAAGGGTGAAATGTGAATGCTTTCACGTCGCTGCTCAAAATGCGCTACAGAAGTTCTAGATGTATCCAGTATTATAATAACATACCTTGGACAAGCAGCAAATACCAAACTATTAAAAGAAACATAAATTTTATTTCATACATACCAAACACATTAGACGCATCAACCATACTGTCACTCAGCCACGACCATTACATGTTCCATATTACATATATATCACCAACTGTTTTTGATTTTGAGAAAGATCTCGCTTGCTTACATAGCACACACTAGCAGCCCTGTCCTTTGTGGAATTATTAAACAATTTGGTACCAGTTTTTCTGTAGCGTCTTGTTCCATGTTTTTTGTTCTTCGACAGCTTTCTCCAAATCTTTCACTTTTCCAGTTAAGTTGGATATCACAGTTAACTGCTCTTTTCCTGCTTCCATCAGCTTCTCCATCATCTCTCTTAATTTTGCATTCTCTTCTATCAACTTCTTATCTCTTTCCATTACAATGTCTTTCATCAAGAGATTTCTGGGATGTTGGTGTAGCAACAACAGCATCTTCTTGGTGCTTTCAAACTCACAACGCAGCTCATCTTCCATTTGTCTTCGTCAATTAAACACTTTGCTTCCTCGCTTTGTGAGTCAAGCAGCACATCGTCTTCTTTCTTTCCATTTACTTCCGGCTCCCAGATTTCTTCTCTCTTTCCTCGGACTCCTCAGTGAAACTTTTTAACTGCTGATAAAAGAGAGCGCACATGATCAACATCTATCATTCTTGACCTCTCTCTCCAACTATAGCCACTTCATCACTTTTTACTCCCTCTGCTATTGAAGACAAGGTTGAATTTCCTACTTCGGGTACTGCATTCACAGGCACCTCCATCACCTTCACCAAATCTTCTTCTTCCATTAGAGCAGTTGTATTGGTTGCCACATTATCTATCGCTTCACCATGGCATAAGGTCTCTCCTTCCTGCCTCAGTCTGTTCGTGCTCCGCAAATGCAGAAACAACTGGTCATCTTCAATAACGCCCAGAGGATGTTCAGCCAACAGATTTGTTTCTGGCTCTTCAAATGCAGAAACAGCTGGCTCATCTTCAATTCCACCCAGAGGAAGTTCAGCCAACAAATTTGTTTCTGGCTCTTCAAATGCAGAAACAGCTGGCTCATCTTCAATTACACCCAGAGGAAGTTCAGCCAACAGATTTGTTTCTGGCTCTTTGGTGGCTGCTGTCTTGTTGTCAACTTCAACTTCACAGGCCATCATGTTATCAACATCAGTCGATAAATTAGGACCTGATAACATGTTGGATTCCATTTCACCATCTTCAATCTCGTTCTCCCCTTTCCCAGTTAGTTTGACTTCCTCCAACTTGGAAACCGCAGGATGCTCTTCAATCAATTCAATAGGCAATTCCCTCAACTCGTTCACCCGCAGATTATCATCCACATGTAGTGCATCACCTGCAGCCAGTGCCCCCACTATTTCCTCAGAGCTGGGCTTGACTCCATTTTTCTCTTCTATCTCTGTCTTGAAAGTTTTAATAGGATCATGCACTCCATTGGCAGCATTCTCTTCTCTTGGTGCATTCTGGGAAAGCTGACTATGATCTTTCTCTTTCATGTTAATGCTATTATCACCACTGGTCTCAACAGAGTTTTCAACAATTCCTGCCTCCTTGTTTTGCATTTCATGCATGCTTACATCAGTGTGGGCGTCAATCTTGGGATCAGTAGAAACTTTAGTAACTTCTTTAGACTTCTTGGTAACCAGCAGATCAAGTGTTTCCTGCAGGGTTATGAGCTCTTTCGCCAAAGCTTTTCTGATGTCCCTAAGACTTGGATGCAAGCCCTAACACACAATCATTAACAATATTATCAATAAGAGTGACATCAGATTGGATACTTGCAAACTACAGAAAACCTTCAATCACTTGCTCAGATTATTTTTGTGCGTGTACGCAAGGGTTTGGATCATCTATTTACACTATCCAAATACCAATGACTGAGCTGACAGATTATATAATTTAGTCATCAACAATCAAAAGATGCATAACAATGTAATTGAGAGATATCCCTTACACCTCTCGGATAGAGGTAGAAAAAAAAAAAAAAAAACAAGATATATGAAATATAATTTTGACATCACTTAAAAAATGTGGGCACATACCTGAATGGTGTCTAATTTCAGAAGAAGCCGCATTATCATTTCCCCAATTACATCTCTTTCCCTATCATTTTTCTGTAAATTAGAAGAAGATTCAAGAGCTTGTATACGGTTTCTAACCTCTGCCACCTGTTCACAGACAGTAGCCATTTGCTTCAATTTCTTCAGTGGTTCCATTCTCCTCACCTCAAACCCGCGGTAGCAGACTGAATACGCATGGCAGCTTCCACATCGGACAAATTCTTTATCTTTTTTAGTCCTTCACCATCAGGTGCTTCAGCTGAATGAGATGCTTTAGTTACTTCGGTTGCCATCTCACTCACAATATCTCCCCCCTCTCTTACCCTCTTGTCCTCTTTGAACTTGTAACCATCCTTTTCAGTTTCCTTTGTAGATGATTTCCTGGATATGTCTTTTTCAGAATCAACGGGCAACCTCACAGAATTTTCCCTCTGAGATCCACTCCTCCAGTCTTCATTCTTCTTTTCACAGTTTTTATCATCTGCCATGTCAACAACCTTCCTCTCTGCTTCTGCTAGCTCCACCTCCTTGCTCTTGTTCATGAAACCATCTCGTGCTTGTGTATCCTGTAGCGTGTTCTCTTTCAAACACAATGAAGCAGAAGGCCTGTGAGAGTCTTTTGCTTTCTCCTGCGATTGTTTGTTGGAGCCAGGGGGACTAAGAGACCTTGAACTGCCATCACCATTTTTCTTTCTTGATAAAGGTTCAACTCTCAGAGAAACGGGAGGTAACTTAGATGTCTTTTGAGGGGATAACTGTCTTCTAACACTGTTTCCTGTAGGATTGTCTGTAACAACACTTTCGGCATACTTTGATGGAGCATCACATACTTTCTTAGTTTCATCAGAGTTGTCTTCCTTTCTCTGCACTTCCACTTTCTTTGTCGAATTGAGTTTCTGATTGGGAATGTTCTCCATTGTCTGTGAGCTTTTAGCCTGACCACCAGAATTTTTCTTGTTTTCAGATTTGTTCATGCTATCATCGATCTCTGAAGGCTTCACGGGAATGAACTTGAAGCTGGATAGTGGTTCCTCCTCAGCAATTGAATCAGCATTTGGATCCCTTTTGTCTTTCTTTTCAGCCTGCTCTTGCTCACTATGAGAAGGCACCCAGATTATAGGATAAGGGAATTGCCTCCTTTTATCCTCAACTTGTTGATTCTGTCTTCCCTTCTCATCTTCACCTTTCATCAAGGGTTTGAGGCCACTTGTGTCAATTGGAAACCAGCCATTCATCTTCCTTTGGTCCTTTTGAGCCTCCTCTTTCCCATCATTAGAGGGCATCCAGATAATGGGATATGGGAATTGCCTCATTTTATCCTCATTCAGTTGGTTGTCTGTTCTCTCTTTATCCTCATCATGCATCAAAGGTTTAAGGCTGTTCAAGTCTAGTGGAAACCAGCCATTCCAAACTGTTGGCCCTTTTTCAGAGGACTTTATATCCTCATGGGATTTTGTGTTGCATGAAGCATTCTTCTGGTCTGCTACCTCCGATTCAAGAGGCCTTCCATACTCATAATTTTTCATCATTTACTCAGGTGGGATCCACATAACTGGATATGGGTTATTTTTTGAGTTGATTGGAACCAATGAATCATTTTTCTTCGCAATGTCAGGCTCCTGCTCTTCAATCTTTACACCTCTTTCACTTCTCTGATTGCATATGTGATTAGGACAGCCACAGCAGTGATAGTCTCTTTGTGCCTCCTTATCATATTCATGCCTAGGCTGCACCATTGAATGATGTGGAGAAAATGGGTATTGCACATGGTATGGTGCATTGAATACAGGATGATGTCCACAGCTATGATGGCATGGTGACGATGTGAAATGAGAGGTAGGAGGATTAAAACTGTAATAAACTGGGAAGTTGCCATGGTTGGAGCATGCATAACACGGGTTCATGTGGCCACAGTTGCTGCCATTACTCCAAGGTCCACACATCATAGGATATATAGCTTGATCCACCGTCATCTGAGGCGGGATGCCATCATAGCTAGGATAATAAACCTGACCAGATGGCACCTGGCTTCTTTGGTGAGGATATGAGTCCATGTAGATGGGCATCATTTTAATTTAAGCAACACACCAGACAGTTCTCGAAAAAGTTGTAAACGTTGCTCTGTGAACCACCCGAAGTGTTGGTAGAATTACCGGCAATATCTGAAGGCGTCTCTGATGAAAGAGACAAAGGGCTATAAGCATAGTGAAAACAAAGGAAAAATAAATAGTATTACGAGGAGACAAATAGATTCGTGCAAAAATTACGTAACTTAACCTAACCCTTTCTAAATCATAATCATTCGAGATACTTTTAGCTTACGTTAAAAGAGAAAATGAAAGCTGTATAATTAAATTAAACCTTCTCATAATTAAAAAAAAAAAATACTATAATATATACATAATTAAGCCTCTAAATTCCCAAACTGTTACCCTAATACAAATAAAAAACAACTGCTATTCAGATCAATAGACATAGATAGTGACTGTATTTTATAAAACTTTCAACACTAAAATCTGAGATCAAAAAATAAAGATAAGCTCTGGGCGATTCAAAGTAACAGAAATTCGATTGTATAAAGTAGACATTGGTAGTTAATATTCATCTACCTATCACACTCATTTCAATCGTTACTATTTTTGCCTCAAATGAAACATCCATGACAATTTTTAGCGCTAAGCAGAGTAAACGATTAATCAAAATGATGACAATGAAACTCACAAAGAAAGTTGAAGCACTATAAACCTCAAGAGGTGATGGACAAGTAAAACAGGTGAGCACAAATTTCAACTAAACCTACTCAGAATGTAAAAGCATTACTAATAAAAAATTTCTAACGTATAAAGAATTGCGCGCGAATGTACTTCATTTGGTGAAACCAAAAACCACTAAATTCCAATGACCGCCATATATAATCCAAAAAAGATATAATTGAACTTTTAGCTTCTAAAGCAAAGGAAAAACAATGTTACACTATTAGGCGGGAGGAGAAAGAACTTACAATTTATTCAAAAATGAAAGCTCCACCAAAACGGTTCCGCAATCCTGATGAGTGAGTTATCAGCACGAATTCAATCCACAAACCCAAAATAACGATTCAAATTCTTGTTGTGACCTCTCTTATGCGATCAGTTGTGTTTTCTTTTCTGGATGAGATTGAAATATGAGCGATATTAAGCCTTTTATATATATGGAAAGGTTCTTACTAGATTTTAAGTGAAAAAAAAACCTTCTTCAGTTTTCGAGATCTTTCGCGGCTTTCTTAGACATGAAATGTCTGGATTTGTCTTGCCACGTGTGAATTGTGCTTCGTGTCCACACACGAAATCTCTAGAAAGTCTCTCTTGCCTGTGGGACCTCTTGGTTCATGTGAATCTCTCTTTCCGATTGTTTTAAGCTTCCAATACTCTCAGGTACTTTCCCAGTCAAATGATTCATAGATAAGTTTAAGATCCCCAGCCTTGAAAAATTTGTAAGATCAGGCAACTCTCGCCGCAGGCTGCTGCTAGAAAGATCAATGCTGTTCACAAGATAGAGATTCCCCGTATCATACAGGTATTCTCTTCCCTTTGTTGCCACCAACAACTGCCCTTCATATCTCACATTTTCAGCATCAACAGAAATACCACTCAAATTCCCTAGACATGGGGGAATTGATCCTGAAAGATTATTATGAGCAAGGTCCAATATATGAAGAGAGGAGAGATTGCATAATTATGAGGGAATGCTCCCATGGAACAAGTTTGACCTTAGACGTAAAATCAGCAGAGATGGGAACCTTTCTCTTATCCACGCCGGAATGCTACCCGAAAGTTTATTATCTCCAAGATCAGGAGTTGTAATTTCTGTGCAGTTCTTCAAGGCTGAAGTAATTTCCCCTGATAGCTGGTTGTTGCTCAGCGTCAGGAATATAGGTGAAACAAAACCCAAATTACCCAACGAACTTGGTATCTCACCAGTTAAATAGTTGTTTGCTACGTTTATGACATAGACAGCTGTTAAACTAGACCAGAAATCTGAGATTTTTCCCGTCAACTGGTTATTGGTGAGAACAAGAGTGAACAAATGACTTAAATTCCCAATTGACAAGGGAATGGAACCATAGGAAGTTAAAAAGAGATGTCAACATCTGACAACATGGGCATTCGTTCACCGAAGTCTTCAGGAATGGGTCCAGAAAAAAAGTTATCCAAATGGAAAGAAGTGATATTTGATGAAAATACTGGCAAAGGGCCAGTAAACTGGTTGTAGTTCAAGAACACTACAGCATTAGGACCGAACTTGATTGTGTTCGGTATTTTACCGTTTAACTGATTATAACTGAAGTCCAAAACATCCAGAAACAAATCTAACTTCCAAAACCAATCTGGTTTGGTGTCTGAAATATTATCATGCCAAATAGCCACAGAGTTTAGTTCGTTTTGATTTCTTAGCCACATAGGAAATTTTGGACCCACTAGACAGGATTTGAGGTTGAGGTACTTAAGTTTGAAGTAGGAATCCACTCAGAACTCACATTAAAAACCAAGGTGATGTTAGAATAACTCTGGACAATCGATAAGTCTTTTAAGCTTGTGAGACTAGAAAAATGAGCTTCTGTCATGACACCCTCCCACTGATTATAATTTATATCCAACGCAACTAAGGATGAGAGTTGTCCTAGACTAGCCAGAATTGTTCCTTTCATTCCATTTTCAGAAAGATAGAATTCTTCTAAGGATGACAAATTTCCAATGGAGTTGGTGATCTAACCTGAGAAAGGGTTTTTATGAAGTAGAAGATTTCATATTCCTCAAGTGCTCCAAGGAATTAGGAATATTCCCACCCAGTATATTGTACCCCAAATGTAAGTACTCTAACCTGCAGTTGGTGCAATTAGACAAGCCATCAGTGAATTCTGTCATCTCACCGCTAATCTTGTTGAAGGATAGACCAAGCACACGCAAATGGCAGAGCCAAGCCAGTCCTCGTTGGCAAAGATACTCTCTTATTTCTAGGTGTCGTGGCTCAGCTTTTACCGTCGGATGTTATCTTTTATAGCTATAGTCTATGAAAATTTAGGAAATTGGTCGTCTTCTTACTTTGAAGTGCGTAATTACTCCAATGGTTGGCTTCACTGTTTATGATGCTTCAAATTCAAAAAATTTAGGCAATGAGGAACTAGCTTTCAGCTTAAAGGGAGATGATCTTATCAATGTTACTTTTCCTGACTTTGTTGTCGGAGATAAAAATGTAACACCACAATGTGTGAGATTTGGTTTTCGTAAAACAACTTAAATTACCGACATGAGTGAGCCAAATGTATGCGCTAGTAAGGTGTCAGGGCGCTTTGCGATTATAATTCCATCTCCGTCCAGATGATGAAGTGAAAGAAACCGACGCTGAGAAACGGTGGGTGATAATTTTTGTGAGTGTATTTGGTGGGATGGCTGTGTTGATTTTGGTTGAAGTGGTTATATATAAGGTAGTTAAAAAGAGGAAGATGAAAAAAATGGAGGGTGAAGCAGACAAAGGAGTTGCTTTAGATACAACATGGATTGGAAGAAGTAAAATGCCTTCAGCATCAATGGTCAGAACAGCAAAAGAGGATTTGCATATATGGGTAGGAGTAACTACAACAGCAAAAGCATGGGCTGGTCTTCATGAAGACGGCAGCTTGGTTTTTGTGCCTGTATCATTCATCCAACATAAACGTAAAAGAGGATTTACCAGACATAATCTCCTCTATGTAGCGTATCAGATCAAGGTGAGACATTTCTAATTAGTTTAACTTGATGGAGTAGATAGAATTATTATTGTGGTTAAAACCAACATTAATGATAATGCTAAAAAATAAGAAACATTTTATTATTGATTATTGCTAGGTAATTACATCCTTAAAAATACAGGGGATCAAGCTATAGGACGTAGATCACAGAGCTTGTTAAGGGGAAAAGGAGGATCAAAGAGCGAGCCATTGAGAATGGCCTTTGTCATAATTAAGTTTGCAGCTTCAGTGGCGTGTATTCCATCCCAGCTTACATAATTGAATGGGTCAGTACAGGCTGTGGCTGTTACATTCTTTCCATTAATCACCTTGCTATTTCCACAAAAAACACCAGCATCAAAATTATAGGCACCGCCTCCAAGCCCACAACAAGCCTTGGGACCATAAGTAAGTCCTGCCAAAATAATTCATATTAATTTGTAACTACGTATATACATATGATAATATATTTTTTAGTAGTGGGTGAATAAAAAAAAAGTTTTACCATGAGCTGTTGGGTGTCGAAAGAGGTCTAGGAATATGGAATGGAGGTCAACATAAATGAGGTTGGCTTTTGGTAGATCTTTCCTCATTTGGTCTAGCGTCTCCTTCAACATGTTATTATAATCCACCACAGCTCTGTTGTAAGAAACCAAGCAACCATACACGTCGATATCTGTACTGTTGTGTGGAAGCTCCACCAAAAATGCAGGATAACAACCAATTGGTGCAAGATTCAATACAAAAAATGTGCGTCCACCAAATGCATATATCTCCTGGAAATGAAAATTTGACAAAAGAGAATTAATATGTATTAACAATATTGAAAAATAATTTAGAGGGTTCAGCCATTATTATCACACCTTGATTGTCCAAGCAATTGTGTTAATCACATCAGGAAGAAACTTCTTCACACCACTTACACCAATAGCTGCTAATTGGGATGTAAAATCATTTTGACCGATGAAGAAATTATATATAGATTTTCCAAAGACATCCGGTGAAGGCAGCCTCGTTGAGCCTAAGAAACAAACATTTTTTTATTTTAAGTAATTTACTTAGAAAGATTATATTAGTAATTCGAAACTAGAATGGTTTTAATATATATACCTGTTTTACCAGAGGCGTGAAATTCCTCCACTCTAGTCTTGAAATTTTTCATTTGGTTGAGTTGGATAGCCAGAGAAAATGGGCTGAGCCCACTAACAAACAAGGAAGTGTTAGGCAATAGAACTGTTGAGGCCGCCGTAGCATAATTGGCACCATGTCTGAAATCTGATCCCATTGATTGTAAATATGGGTCTATGTATGGAAATCCAAGAGCTTTAGCTGTCAAATGACCAAAAAAAACAATAATTTGTTGTAATCAAATTTAGATCAATTTTAAAATATTAACAAAAAAAGTTTCAGAAAGAAAAGGCGAAAGAGATCATCGTGGAGGTAGTATTTGTCATCAAGTAAAACTCCAGCCTGGAGGGCTAAATGCTCAATATAGTGCCAAAACTCTCATGGACCTCTCCTTTTGAACTGTACACCATTACTCTAATCCAACTTTTTCAACTTTGGCCTTCATCAATCATCCTTCATTTGCAGAACTCGCCATATCATGGAAAATTAATGGGGGAATCAAGCTATATACAATCTAATCTCCAATATATCAATAAAAAAAACACTACTGTTGTCTGTTCAGTATAAGACGCTTAAATTCTGATCGTGTTTAGAGCAAAAGACATGGAAGAAATCTACAGTTGTCGAGCAGGACAAATACAATAAAGAAAACAAGTATGCCTACAAAAGAGACGGTTATCAGTAAACAAATTGACAAAGCTTTTACCAGAGAAAACAGAGGTTCGTTACTTATCAAATGTAACTTAAGAGTTTATATTTATTTCAGAGAAAACAAATTGGTTCTCCCTTATTCTGTATCCCGGCACCGCAACAAACAGCTATGTCAGAAATCAATTGTGCTTGTTAAATCATAAGAATGAGATTTATCTATAATATACTTCAACCAGATACTCAGAAACAGTTGATTAATTATTATGTGAATTATGGCAGGTGTCAACTATTTAATTTTAATTTAATCAGAAGTACAAATCAAAGAGACTAGAGAGAGTTAAAAAATATATATATATATATATTACCCAAGAAATCAACAATATTCCTCCCATCTGAAGCGCGACCAGCGGGTCTCTTGAAGTAGGTCATGCCAAAAGGAAGACGCTGAGGAGGGAATGCTGCCCAAAACCCACCAGTGTCGGTATTTGAGTCTCCAAAGTTGAAGATTGCCTCATATTCACATTTTGAGTCACTCAAACAACCGCACATCGCCATCATCACCATCCAAATGACGAAGACCTTTCTCAGCATAACTATGATTTTGGGTAATTGGAGAGCCATTTTTTTTCCCTTTAAACTAGATATATGGACAACGCAGAGACAAGTTTAGTGTTTCTGTGAAAGTATCCTAGACTGACCGGGACTTCTCTTATATAGAAGATTAAAACGAATGGTTCCAGATGGTGATCAAATCATATGGCAAACGAGTCCAGTTAACTAACACGTGGGTAGTGACAGTAGAAGGAGAATGGATAGAAAGTGTAGCAAATTTTAGGAAAGATTATGCAGAAACTTCAAAAGAATGACCAATGACGATACGTTATATGGGGACGAATTGGTGATGAAGTGATGGACTTGCTGATATGCACTTTTCTCAATTCAATCTGAATTTATATTTTAGTGGAGCAGGGAAGGGAACAGAAGCAGTATCTGATTATGAATAATACTTTGGGTACTAATGGATGGGTACTAATCTGTGTACTAACTAAAGCATAGTACCCGTACTATGCGCATAGTACGGGTACTATGCTTTAGTTAGTACACAGATTAGTACCCATCCATTAGTACCCAAAGTATTATTCATAATCAGATACTGCTTCTGTTCCCTTCCCTGCTCCACTAAAATATAAATTCAGATTGAATTGAGAATAGTGCATATCAACAAGTCCATCACTTCATCGCCAATTCGTCCCCATATAACGTTTCGTCATTGGTCATTCTTTTGAAGTTTCTGCGTAATCTTTCCTAAAATTTGCTTCACTTTCTATCCATTCTCCTTCTACTGTCACTACCCACGTGTTAGTTAACTGGACTCGTTTGCCATATGATTTGATCACTATTTGGAACCATTCGTTTTAATCTTCTATATAAGAGAAGTCCCGTTCAGTCTAGGATACTTTCACAGAAACACTAAACTTGTCTCTGCGTTGTCCATGTATCTAGTTTAAAGGGAAAAAAAATGGCTCTCCAATTACCCAAAATCTTAGTTATGCTGAGAAAGGTCTTCGTCATTTGGATGGTGATGATGGCGATGTGCGGTTGTTTGAGTGACTCAAAATGTGAATATGAGGCAATCTTCAACTTTGGAGACTCAAATACCGACACCGGTGGGTTTTGGGCAGCATTCCCTCCTCAGCGTCTTCCTTTTGGCATGACCTACTTCAAGAGACCCGCTGGCCGCGCTTCAGATGGGAGGAATATTGTTGATTTCTTGGGTATATATATATACAGTATATATTTTTAACTCTTTTCTTTGATGTTTACTTCTGATTAAATTAAAATTAAATAGTTGACACCTACCATAATTCACATAATAATTAATCAACTGTTTCTGAGTATCTGGTTGAAGTATATTATAGATAAATCTCATCCTTATGATTTAACAAGCACAATTGATTTCTGACATAGCTGTTTGTTGCGGTGCCGGGATACAGAATAAGGGAGAACCAATTTGTTTTCTCTGAAATAAATATAAACTCTTAAGTTACATTTGATAAGTAAAGCACCTCTGTTTTCTCTGGTAAAAGCTTTGTCAATTTGTTTACTGATAACCATCTCTTTTGTAGGCATACTTGTTTTCTTTATTGTATTTGTCCTGCTCGACAACNGATCTGAACATTTTCTGCACGTCCACGTCAATTGGGACCCACTGTAAGTTGCGTAGTAAACCATGTGCCTGCAAGACACGTCACCTTGTCGGGAACGATGCTTAGTCTGATTAACCTAGATTAAAAAATTAGAAAAAAAAAAAAGAAGAGGCCACCACGTCAGATCCCTCCAATCACATGTCTCTTTCTCATCCCACCGATAAACCCGCATCACCGTTGATATAGCCAACTAATCAACGGCTGAAGTTTCATTCTGACGTGGCTTTCTGACGATTACGTCACACTCCACTACAGCCAGTCACATGCGCGCTTTTTTTATCAAATATCAATCCAATTGGACTTGCATGCATATGTACCCTTTTATTTCTAAAGTTGTTTTGATTCCCATTAAAAAACCCGCTAAAGCTGACGTTACCATTTACTATTATTTTTAATTCCTTATTTACTAAGCTAATTGTATAATTAATTTATCCAAATTAATGTTGTGATCCTACGTGTATGGATTTCTATTGAACATATCACTCACTCCTTGTATTTTGTTTTTGCCAGCCCATCTTCTGGTTCCATCTTTTATTGCATTACATAAATGTTTATAAGAAGAAGACTTATTAGACATAACAAATCAAAGAATAATACAATAAAATGTAACTATTATAAATTTGAAACTCAATATATGCGTTAACATTAGGCTAACAATAAAACATGATCATTGAAGGATGCATAGTTGATTCCCTAATTTTTGTCAGAACTCATGAGTTGATTAATACCAAATAAAGTAGATAAACTGGATAAGCAGAATTTTCGTGAATTAAATGACAAAAAATTGTGGAATCTTTCTTACAAATATGTACGGACTTTTAGTTTGAATATTCAAACTTATACATAATCGTTTTTCATCAAATAAATTAAGCTAAATTATACTATAGACACTCTAGAATTATAATCATAATTCAATTTATACCTATTCATGATAGCAATTTCAACTTTTAATTTGATGTGATAATTGATATGTATACGGGAGTTTGATTTAGACATTAAAATACATACATGTTTTAATCATGTATACGCACGTGACTTTTGTTACTTCCCTATCCCTCTCATTCAGGGGAGAAAAAAATTGCTAACCTCATCAGTTCCACAGTATTGATTAATTATCCACTTAATAGTGTTAAGAGAATGATTTCTTATTGTAAATTTTCGAATATGGGTTAAGTGTCTTTTCACACCTTAATCACTTCAAAACGGAATTAAATAGTAGTATTGATTAAATTTGATATTCAGAATTGGATATATATATATATATATATATAAAATAACAATGACAATAATATTGATAATTAAGGTTTGATTTTTAAATAAATTGGAACTCTAGGATTTTTTTTACGTGATTGATGAGACAACAACCACACAGTTATTATGAGGCCTTAGTAAATCCATTTGTAACTTATGAATTTAATTGTGCTTATAAGGAGGTGTGTTAACTTAAAAGAATTGATTTCCTTCGTTTTAATTCATGTTATATAATTAAATTATACCTACAGTTATACTAAATCATAAAGATAACCATTTCAATCCTGATTCGTGTACTTAAATAGTATATTTGACAAATGACTCAATTAGATTACTTAAAAATATATTTGACAAATAAAATGCGCAACAACTTAACCAAAAAATAAAATAATATCACATCAATCTGAACTAAAACAAAAAAAAAAGCTAAATTATTTTACCTATATCGAAAATGTTTATAATATTCTTATCTAAATAATCGAGTTAAATCCATGTAATCCCGTAGCCTAGTTGATAAGGTAGAACTGCCACAATAAAGTTATTATAAAGATTATCAATTAAGGTATTTCAGAAATTTAATAATAAAGATAGAAGTTTTCAAATTCTTTAAAAAAAAAACACACACACACACATACAATAACCGTGATTAATGCTGACATTAAAAAAGAATCATATACCTTTATTATTTATTTATCTCTTTTTAATGCTACTGTATTTTAGTTTTTCGATTATAAATTATGAATCTTTAGGGAAAAAAAAGGAAAAACCCAAAAAAAAAAAAAAAGGTAGAATAAAAGAGGTGTGATGTGACGAAAGAACAATAATTAAGCCCGCAAGGCCGAATCGGTATGCTAGATCTAGTAGACCACGGCTAGACACCAAGGCGATAGCCCGTTGCGCTGGGCATGGCTTTGAGCTGGCCACTTCGGGGGATTGGTCTTAATCTTGACATTGGCTATTTGGCTTTATTATTTTACTTATTTTGTTCTTTTATTTATTTTTATCTTTTTTTATTTTGTGTTGTCTATAATTTTAGTATTTTTTTAATTGGGTTTCTTATGTTTTTAATACTGTTTCAGCATATCTTTTAAAAATACTAATATAATCTTAAATTGTTTTTACTATTACAGAATATTAAATCTAACACGAATTAATTAATTTTTTTTGCTTTAATATTAACTTTCTAAAATTTTTGTAACTTAAAAGATGAATGGTGTGAGGTACATCCATTAATTACGAGGCACGTGTAATCCTCCCACGTGGAGATCACAGTGACAAGTGGATCATGTAAATCTCTAGAAAGTCTTAGGAGATGTGAAAAATGAGCTGGCTACGCAACCTCTCTTGCCTGTGGGACCATCTTGGTTCTGAGTCCACCTGCGTGGGACACGTCAGTGTCCGGACCACACACGCGACCGACATGAGTGGGGACCACATCAAGTTCGTGTTTTGATTCTTTTTTAAGCCAAGCCAGACTAACCAGTCCTCGTTGGCAAAGATACTCTCTGATTTCTTGGTGCCGTGGCTCAGTTTTTACCGTCGGATTTTATCATTTATAGCCGTGGATTATGTTAACGTCAGTAGTGGGTCCCGGTAACGAATTTATCTTATTTATTTTCTGTTATGGATTTATTAATGGCAAGGCTGGTGAACTCTGCGCGTACACGTGGGTCGCTAGCGAAATGATTTGGGAAAGTGATTTTGAATAGTCAATATGAATGGAGGGCTGGGATTAGAAACTGCGTGGCGCCCGAGTCAAAACAAAATGCGTCAGACATGGAGTGCTATCCGCGTGGGAAAAAAGGACGCTAGTAAGTGAAATGACTTAAAATACCCTGCACTTTAATATTTTTTGCGTTATGGCAGTGTAGAAGGATAATGAGAATTGATCTACAAAGAATGAATCTGTCTTTTCTAGTTTTTTTTTTTTAATTAGCATACATATTCCTAATAATATAAAATTTTAGAAAAAAATAATATATAAAAATAGAGAAACTTTTTATTAAATAAATTTAATTATTCAATTTTTTTACATTTTTAATTAATAAATTAATCTTTCTTAAATATCTTGAGATTTTATTTTAAATAATCACTTTTTATTTCATAATAAATCAATACTTTTATATTTCGCTCAAGTTTAAAACAAATTCAAATAAATAATGTTTAAAAAGGGTATTAATTATTCACGTAATGAAAATTTATCTGCGAGGACTAAGACATGATAGAAATAGCATTGAGTTCACTAACTAATATTATACATGTTCATTTATTTATTTATTGACAAAAATGTAAATCAATTACTCTTTTCTTGCAATCGTTTTGTTTTTACGATATCTCACTGAAAAGGTTATGCCATTTAAAGCTAACATATAAAACATTTTACTTTTATTTGGTGTTTTTGATATAAATATTTGCTACCTACGTAATATGTATATATTTTAAAAAATACAAGCACATTACAATCATAATGCACGATTAAGAAACACATCAATAATTTTCATAAATGTAGGTAAGCAAGTCGAGTTGTTAACGTACATTATTATTGTACTAAAATTAGACACGTTGACAATTAACCATTCAAGACTTGCAGTTATTAGGAACATGATTACGGCATGCTGGCGCAGTGTCTAATTACTTTTCTTAAATTAAGAAAAAAAAAAAAAACTGCAAATTAATTTCATCAGGTTTACAGTTTACACATCAACATCTTCAAAGTTGCGGGCAAACTGCACAGCACCATGGTATTTTTTGTTTTTTTGGTAATTAGAGTATTCAAGTCGGTTTAAGCAAATCTTACTTAATCTATTAAGATCTTGAAGTTGACATGATATTCAACTAAATTCTTGAAGTGATCACCCTATTAGTAATTCAGATAGATCGAATTTAAGACATTTTGAATAATATACTCAAAAGTTTTAGTTGACTGTTAAGTCATCCAATTGTGGTTAAACAGAGCACCATGTTGCTAACAAAAAGATAAGCAGATCATGCTTTGGATTTGTATCATAAAAAAGTTTTTGGGTGGATAAATACATATCATTTTATGATCAACATTCAGAATTAGCAATTGTAAGTTACAAATGATGTAAGTAGTCAATTTTACTATGTTTAAATTACTACACGCTAAGATTTATTTTTAATGTTAAGATATGATTTAAAATTGAGTAAACGGCAAATTCTCACCAAAAGTTTGACGAAATCCCAAGTTGGTATCCCATGTTACATTTATCCTAAATTCCCACCCTTAAAATAACAGTGTTAGTAATTTTTAGAGTTTAAAGGGTGCAATTACCATAATGCCCTTAACCCTAAATCAATAAATTATGTTTTAACCCCTAAGTTAGTAGAATTATAAAACTTACCATTTTATTTTCAAATTATGTCAAAAACACACTCGGTCACTACACACCCTCCTCAGAAACAGCCCGATCTGGGCTGTTTCTAATGGTGTCGAACCCTGTGGTCACCTCCATCACCTTCCCTGTAGTCCGCTTTCCAAAACCCCTCTGGTTCCCGATTCATTGGCCCCTCCAATTGCCGGCACCGTTAGACTTAGGTTTTTGGTGTCCTTCGCTAGATTCGGGTTGATTCCAGCGTTGAAAATCCAATTGGACACCACCACTGCAACCATCGTTTCCAAATCTATAAAACCCTTATGTCCTCAACAACCGTTTTGTCATCGTTCACTGGTCGAGAGTTCGTGTTCATCGGCCTTTTTTGGTGAAGTGGTGGACGGTAAACAGTGAGCTGTCGTGACTGGGAAGGTTAAGGGTTTTGTAGGGGAGGATGCAAGGAGTCAAATGGTGGTGGTGGTTGGGGTTTTTGCTGTTCAAAACTGTGGGAAACCACTAAAAACCAGTCGCATGTCGCGGCTACTGTGGCCGACGATCGGCGAGTGATGAGAGGTTGTGAAGGGTATGGTTTTGTTGAGGGGATGATGGGGGGTTTAAACGGTGGTGACAAAGGTGATTTTGGGTGGAAGAATCGCCGAAAAAAGGGCAAAAAACGTCGGGGATGCCGTCTGTTAACGTGCGTCAAATGACTGTTAGAGACGACAATCTGCTAATGTGCACCGTCCATGTAAAATGGCCAATTTACCCATTTATCGTTACATCAAATATTTTTCTATCACTTTAAGGGTGAGAATCTGGAATAAATATAATTTAGGGTACCAACTTAGGATTTTGTCAAACCTTGGGTGGGAATATACCGTTTACTCTTTAAAATTTCATGTGTCAGTACACAAACCAAACAAATGCTCAGGTTCTGTTATTTATTTAACAATACACAAATCGTTTACAAAAAGTAAGAAGAAATTCTATAGAGATAAAAGTGGTTTGCCAAATCATTGGCAAAAGCTAAAGATTAAGAGTAGAAAAAAAAAAAATTAATTAATTTTTTTTTAAAAATTAATCAAATACAAAATGGAAAAGAACAGATGGCAAAAATCAAACGAACAAATCTCAATCCGTGGAGTTAACTGTTAAGCATGGCTTGGGGTTGGGACCCCATATTGGCAGTCAATGGCTGGCTAGTCCACAGTGGTGGATTCCAAAGGACCTATTCATTATAGTTAAGTTTTTATAACAATAAAAAAATTGAAAAAAATTAATTTAATGAAACGCACCACGTAAGCCACATGACGGGTGGAATACGTTGGACCCTAATCGGGGACGCGTAGATCGAGTTATTAACGAACACGTGTATGGTAGAGGTGACGTTGGAATAAATAAAAATGGCCAGCGCGATTATGGATGGGCCAACTCAACAACCAACTTTGCCCACGTATATACGATGTATTTGTATACGACACGCGTATGATGACGTGGATGTTGCCTTGGCGCTGCTCCCTCTCCTTCTTCTTCACCACCTCTCCTCTCTCTCTCCCTCTTCTCTCTTTCTGTAGACTAGAAACCGAACTTTTCAGTTTTTTCGTTTGTTCTTTGAGAGGGAAAGTTAGAGAGAGAAAATGCTGAGGCTGACAAGTTAGTTTGGAGTCTTTCTTCAAAACTGTATTTTCTATTTTTGCTTATATTTTATTTTTGTTTTCGTATTGGAGAAAATCCAAGGCTTAAGCATTGAAGTTTCTGGATTTCGGAAGTGCGAAGAGGAGATTTGGTGTCAGGAAATATAAGGTATGAAAAGTTTCAAGTTTTTTGTTTGAAAAAATTTCAGTTACTTGAGAGGATTCGTTTGTCAAGTTTCTGTTATATAAACTCTAACCTCTTGTTTGGTTGGTAAGAAAATGGTGGAAGGGATAGGCAAGTGTTGAAGTCGTCAAATTATGTCGATTAGGTGATGTTTGATTGGCTACAAAATGTAGGAAAGTTAAAAGGAAACTGTAATTTGAATATTCGATTTGGGCCTCAACGCCAAACTATCCCTTATCAAACCTTTGAGTATGAGCTTTCTCGGTTTTTATAAACTGATGTAACAGAACTGCACGACTAAAAGAACGATTAGAATTTTCCTTGTTGCAAAGGAATGTCTTTGATTTTCTCGGTAACCAAATAGGGTATCAGAGCTCAAAGTTATTTAGTTCTCTCCAATTTACGAGTTGTAGGCTTTCTTCAAATCTACAACTCTTATCAAGCTTGACAGCGAGTCAGATTTATAAAAAAAAAAAAAAAAAAAAAAATTAGGAAAATTTGCAATATGTAACTGTGCTATCTAAAGCAAATATGATTTTCCGGACTAGGAGACTCATCTAAACCATCATGAGTTATCATGCAGAAAAAAACTGCAGGAGTCTTCGACTGCTGTTACGAGGGTATTTTTGTCCTTTATTATCGGATTGTCTCCCTTTGAGATAGATTTGTTGAGTCCTTTGGCTATACAGATCACTTTCTTATGATCGGTGGGGGCGTGAAAAGACTTTTATACCCCCAAATTTCAGACTTTTCTCAGGCCTTCAACGTTTTGTTACTTTTTCGAATTGTTGAAGGACATGAATGATCGATTCATTTTGATTGTAGATTTCAGTGAAGCAGTAAATAAATTTCTTCGTTTGAAGGTGCTTATATCGATAAAAGCTTGTGTTTGTTGCACGTTGAGTTACAATTGTCAGTGTTAAACTATCAATTAACTTGATTAAGAAAAAAGGGAGCGTAAATTTTATTTAGCAATTAAATCATACATTTATGGTTAACCTGGACGCATTCCAAATCAAACTAAAGAATTCTAAATCTAAGGAATTTTTAACTCAAGAATTTTGAATACTTCTATCAGTTGTTTTCCGAATTTGTAAAGGGAAAATTCATCTGAGTCTGTTGTATCTGATGGGGATTTGTGGGAATTGATATGTTTACGAATGCCCCAAATGGTTGATATGTTTAATTGTATTGTTACTGTACTTTGCCTTCTATGCTCTTCTTTTCTTGCCAACCATGACCTGACTTGTTTTACCTTGATGCAACTGACTATTGATTAAAGACGGGAAATTCTTTCATCTTCTCTGAATTACCTGGGGGTTTCCAGTTTGGTGCTTGACCATGGGAAACAATGAAGATGTGAAGTCTTCGAAGTCTGATAAATCATCTTCACCTGCACCACCGGTGAGCTGAGAACTTATGCAGGATTCTTTTGTAAAAAACTAGAATAAGAGAAACCTGATTTTATTGCTCTGGAGGAAAAAAAAAAAAAAAAAAAAAAAAAAAAAAAAAAAACCAATTTCATTTCTCGGTGTTTGCTTATGAAGTTTTTGTCTGACAATGGTCAAATTGATTATTAACAGGATCAGGGCAATATTCGTGTGTATCCGATTGGGCAGCTATGCAGGTTAGCACTTGACTTGCAATTAGTTATCGTTTTCGCTTACGATTGTCCAGCGTACAGTATAAAACTGCTAAATGGGAATTATGTTATTTTGTTGCATCTTGGCGTATTATGGCCCCAGAGTTGGATTCACCATATTACAACTCTACTGTGGCATCTGGACATCCTCTCACCCCTATATGTGGGGTCCACCACAGGTATTCTTCAGAGCTTTGAGGAAGTCTGAAAGCAGCCCTTTTTTTTTTTTTTTTTTTTTTTTTTTTTTTTTCATATTTAGGAATGAATTTGGTATACTGGGATGGGGTTAATTTGATATCATTGATCCTTCCAGCCTATGATGCCACCTTATGGAGCACCTTATGCTGCAATTTACTCTCCGGGAGGAGTTTATGCACATCCTGCAGTTCCTCTGGTAAGTTGTAGTTTTCTCTACACTTTTTAGAAATGGTTATGAACTTTCCCTTGAAGTATTAGAGCAAAGTTGTTATCTGAGAGAGCTATTAAATTTGAGTTCATGGGACTTTCCCCTGAAGTATCAGAGGGCAGATGTTATGTGAAGGAGGTATTAGATTTGTGTTCATGGGATGTTTGTAAATTCCTCCTGGTTTGGTAAAATTCATTGGTTTGTAGAATTGGCCAGATCCCATTTTTCTTGCAGCTTAATTGTGTTAAATGATAATTATTCCTTCATTGCACTCGGTGGATAGCTAGAATGTGGTGATTGCCCTTTGTTTACCGAAATCGTCTGATGTTTCTATTTTTCCCATATTATAGACGTCACATCCACATGGTCAGGGGGTTCCACCATCACCTGCTGTAAGTGGAGTGTTGCTTCTTATCTCTTTCAACTCTTGCAAGTCTATCTTTTTGGTCTGTCTCTGGTTTGTAAGTATCATAAGTTGATGTTGGATGTAATAATGCAGGCTGTACTCCCTTTGAGCACAGAAGCACCAACAAAATCATCAGGAAACTCAGAGCGAGGTTTAATGAAGAAACTGAAAGGATTTGATGGTCTTGCAATGTCTATAGGTAATGGTAATGCTGAGAGTGCTGATGATGGGGCTGAACATAGGCTCTCTCAGAGGTGCGTTGAACAAGCACATAACTCTGTTGACAGGTTTAGTGGTTTTCCTATTTTCTCCATTTGGGATAGACTAATTTTATTCCTATTTGGACAGTGAGGCTGAAGGTTCAACTGACGGGAGTTATGGGAATACTTCTAAGGTGAGTACTTCTTTTTCTCTTGAAAATTTGTTACATCTTTATGTGATACACTAACTTATTTGAAAGTTATATATAATATAGTCACTGTAAATAAATTTGTCAACCCCTTACTATCTTATATCAGGAAGATCAATGTAGGAGGAAAAGAAGCCGAGACGGGATGCCTATCATTGGTATGTCTCCATTCTTAATGAAGCATTAGAAATTGATGATCTAAAATTTTACCTGCAATTGATAATTTTGGTGGCCCCTATGAAGATTTTTGAAGTGTGAAAATGACACCCAACTCGGAAAATAAGAAAACAAAGGAAGAAAAGGAGAAAAGAATTGGTCCTTAGAATCCTATTGGGTTGAAGTTTTTATGCGTTTATGTTTATATTTGTTTAATATTTATGCCAAAAGGTGGAGATGGGAAAACTGAGACCCGGCCAAATCCTGTTCCTGGTGGGGATGTGAATGCAGCTCCTAATGTGGTGTTGGGCACAACTGTTGCTGCTGATGGTGTTCCAGGAAAACCTGGTGGCCCTGTACTTTCTCCTGGCATGACAACATTGGAGCTTAAAAACCCTACTAGCATGAATGCTAAGACGAGTCCAACTAGTGTTCCACAACAATGTGCAGTTTTGCCTACTGAAGGCTGGTTGCAGGTATTGTTTGTGAATGTTTCTTCCCCTGTTTGCTTCGGTGCTTCATCTTGTTTCTAAACTTTAATATTTTAAAGCTGTTCCAAAAACTAATGAATTTCAGTCGTAAATGCAGCATATGAAGCAGTTTCTAATTAATATATATATTTTTTATACTCTTTTTGGCATCTTGCTAGAATGAACGGGAGCTCAAACGGGAGAGGAGAAAACAGTCTAATCGAGAATCTGCTAGAAGGTCTAGGTTGAGGAAGCAGGTAAGACTAAGGGACATGAGAGTGCTCATAGATTTTTACTCAAAACGTTCTGTTGGCTGAATTTCATGTATCTTACTGAAAATTTAGTCCACAGCTAATGTTTTATCCCCCATATAGGCTGAGGCTGAAGAACTGGCACGTAAAGTTGATTCATTGAATGTTGAGAATATGACACTCAAATCTGAAATGAATCAATTAACTGAGAAGTCAGAGAAACTAAGGCTAGAAAATGCAAAATTAATGGTAAGTGCTGTTACCTTTCTGCAATTACTCTTCTTTCTTGATTTGAGACTGTTTAATATTTTTTGGTTTGCCCGGAAGTTGTGTGTTTCCAAGTTGAAAAGTTTTGTGCTAACTTATAAAGTGGTTTATTATACAGGAGAAACTGAAGAATGCGCATGCTCAAGAGATTATTTTGAACAACATTGACGAGAAGAGGGTCACACCTATTAGTACTGAGAACCTGCTGTCTAGAGTTAACAATTCAGGTTCTGTGGATAGAAACGTTGGGGAAGAAGGTCACCTGTTTGAGAAAAACTCAAACTCTGGGGCAAAGCTACATCAACTCCTGGATAAAAGTCCGAGGGCTGATGCTGTGGCTGCTGGCTGATTAAGGAATCAGCTTATTTGCTAACAGTGGGCAGATGCAGAGATTAAATAGCTGAATAGGATTGGTATGGGTCCTGGAGTTTTTACATATTAAGTTAGTTTATCTCATGGCAAACCTGATGTGTTTTAGTAAAATCAGAGTGCTAGTGCTAATGGGCCCAAGGTTAAGTTAGTGTACATTCAAGAGAAAATAGAAATTGATGAGTTTAGGAAAGGTGTTGGAACTTATAAGCTGTATTTTGGTTTGATGTGAAGCTATTAACAAACTACTGATATCAATGGCAATTACGTGATTTATAAAGATGTTTTTATGTATCTCCCGTTTCAATCTGGTATTGATGGTTCCACCTTATTTAAACTATAGGGACTTAAGACATTTTTTTAGACCAGGGAAGAAAGCTATCTGAATTTTTTAACCTAAAACCTATGGTTACATGAATCTTGGTGTGCTTACATAGAGCCTTTTCTCTGTTTTATGTCAAATTCTCTTGTTTAATAATATATTGCTCCTAGGAATATAATAATAGTAATAAATGACTCTAGAAATTAAAACATATAACAAAAGATTTTTGCATTGGTCTATATTTCAATTTAAATTTGTGACATCAATTTATAATTTTGCTGACATGTCAATTCTAAGGTGTCATTTAGACACTTTTATTCTATAAATAAAAAAAAAAAAAAAAAAAAATTGTTTACCTCAAATAATACGAAGTTGAAGCAAAAGAAAAAAATTCTAAAGCTACATAAATTAGAATGTCTTCTGGTATTGTCTATGGCCGACCTACACGTTAGCTCATTGACCTTCTAAAAGCGCCACATTTGAATGTTTGAATGTGACTTTTTGTTATCCATTCCTGGGTTGGCCCAAAGTCGGAATTCTAAAGTCCATGTCTGAGTCCAAATACCTAACGTTAATCTTTAATATTATATCTGTGCATACTTTATACTACTTTGATTTATGATAATATATTTGTTCTTATTATGAATTTTTTTATTATATTTAATATTGTTATATGCTTTTAGTTTCTATTATTTTAATCATTAATATATGAAATTAAAATTTAGATATTAAATCTTCAGCTGTTTATAAAATCAAAATGCAACAAAGCCCACAGTATATATTAAAGTCTTTAGCATTGTCGTGGAAAGCTTATCGTGATTAGCAAACATGAAAGTTAACTTATGGCCCACGGAGTCCAAGGCTGCCCAAAAGATTTCAAAACCCTAACCCAAGACCACACAAATCCAAGAACATGAATAATATTAGGTGTACTAACCATTTGTATTAATCTAAGTGAATTTTTAATGTTAGTATTTAGATTAATACAAATTGATTAATGCAGGTAATAGTATTGCAAAAAGATTACCTATTTTTGTCTTCAGTAGATAACTTCAATCAAAAGAAACTGCGATAACATTTTCCGGTATTTTAAGATTATTTTCGAATTTTAAGATGCAAAGGTTCTAACTTCAAACGAATCAAAAGCCATAGAATTTATGTATCACATCCAAGAACTACATTTATGAGACCTCGCCGTAGTCTTCTTGCATTAGAGGTTTGACAAAAGAAAACAGAAAATAAATAATAAAAAATTGGAGGTCCAGCGAAGGTGTCAAATGGAGGGCTCTGATGTACAATTTACAATTTAAAAAAGATAATGAATAGTAGAATTCTTGTTTAAATTGTTGACCGTTTTGTACAGACTTCTCGCATTTCCACGTCCTAGATCTCTGCAACAGAATTATAATACCAGTTCGGTTCCTCTTTTTAAGCTCACTTCTTCACATGCTATCACTTTCATAATCTTATTTTCAATCCAATGTTTTGCTTCAATTTTTAGTTACTAATTTTTAAATGTAACTTATTTGTCTTCTGTTTAAAGGATTGCTTTAACACTTTCATTCGGCAGACTCGCAGTGAGTAGCCGTGCATGTGTTATTATCCGATATTACTTACCGTTGTAGGCTTCGCATTGCCTCTTCATTATGATTTACTTTTTTCATTTTTAGGGTTTGCTTTTGGGTTTCTTCATTTTTTGTTTCTGAAATATGAACGTATAGGTTGGGATTCAGTTGTATCAGAAATTAATTTTCGAATTTCGAAATAAGCTAATTCCGGTTTTGATGGGTTTTATTTTTATATGTATTTTTAAAGTTAGATTAAGTTGTCTTATTATAGTGTAAATAAGACAAGTTTCTGGGGATTTCCTTTTGATTAGAGGATAGGTGTTTATGTACGCAGTTGCCAGATGTTTCGCCGTTTTGCATTGGTTGTTTTATCATTTATAAGTGTGGGTTTTAGAGTTAGAGTTTCAATGGGTTTGATATTACTTATCTTTTCGGGGTTCTCTAGATCTGATGTATTATAATTAAATAGAAATTGAGCAATTTAAAAGAATCGGTGTTGGCTGTTGATTATAGTTCTGAGTTCACAAGTAGGCGCCGTTCCGAATTGTGACTGTTTGTGTTTCTTTTTATTCATTACCTTGTCGGTGGCAGTCTTTAGAGTCCTCTTGAGTAGTTAAAAGAGGAATAGAATATTTTTTTTGTTTATTTTTTTTGCAATATGGGGCATTCTGCAGCAATTTGCGATGTTAAATCAACATCTGAGATGACAAAGGACTGGAATGGGATTGATCAGGTGGTGCTTCGAAACCCACAAGGGGCCTCTGCTAAGGTCAGATTTTTAAACATGAATTGCTCCAATTGAAGCTATAAATTTAATTTTCTTTTACTCTAACAGGAAGAGTTATATTGGGTAGCTGATGATGGATGAATTTAATATTCTGTTGTTTTAAAGTGAATTTAATTCTCTATGGTATAGGTCAGCTTGCAAGGAGGACAAGTTACTTCATGGAGAAATGAGAAAGGGGAAGAACTTCTGTTCACAGTAGCAAGGTTTGGTTTCTGCTGCTTTTTTTTGTTTTTTTTTTTGTGGGTTTCTTCTTCTTTTTGTGTCATATGATTTTTATTTTATATTTGCATAGTCATGTTTGTACTCATTTTATGGTAACGTGAAGTTGGTATTACTCGGCTTCACTCTGGTTAACGATTTTGGCACATTATCCAATTTACTTAAAAATCATTGGCGGTTGTGTATTAGTTAGAAAATCGTATGATTTTTTTTCGAGCATTTCCAAGAACATTTTTGTTAATTTTTAAATATAAAAATTAAAAATTTTATTTAAATATAATAGATTCTTTAAATTGAATAAAGATATTTTTTATTTTCAAGAAAAAAACTTAATAAATAAAATACATAAAAATTTATAGTTTATTAATTAAAATTAAGATAAAAAGTAAAATTTGATTTTCTAGATATAAAAAATTAAATTTATTCTTTAATTTATATTTAAAAAATAAAAAATTTATTAAATACTTATTTTTATGAAATATTTTATAATAAAGAATTTAGATTATATAAAGAGTGTTATAAATATTGTTATATATAAGTAATGAACTTTAAAACTTGCTAGATTAACAGTTTCTTTCCCCAATTTATAACAGGCGATTTTTAAGCCCTCAAAAGCAATACACGGCGGAATCCCTATTTATTTCCCACAGGTATTTATTATCGTTTTGTTCTGTACAAGCTTGTATATAAATTGCTGAACGTGTACTGATGTATACTATTTTTAATGCTTTTGAAGTTTGGAAACTGTGGATCACTAGAGCAGCATGGATTTGCAAGGAACAAATTCTGGACAATTGAGGAAAATACTCCAGATCTGCAGCCAAATGATTTCAATGCAAAAGGCTGTGTTGACCTACTGCTTAAACCATCGGAAGAAGACTTGAAGTGCTGGCCCTATAGGTATGTATTTGGGGTGCTGTAGATTTTCTTATGACACTTTTACATACATTCACAGGAATTTTTTAGTTTTCCATGGTTGAAGTTGTGTAGTATTAGCACATTTAGATATTGAAGTGTCTTTATGTTGTAGATAGACATTTTTATGTGTGCTTGCAGTGAATTTTAATTGGTGGTTGTGTAGCTAATGAGCGATTTTTCTTCTCAGTTTCGAGTTTCGTCTTAGGGTCTTGCTCGGAGTAGATGGAGATCTGACATTAATATCACGAGTGAGGAATGTCAATGGCAAGCCATTTACTTTCTCTTTTGCATATCACACATATTTGTTGGTTTCTGATATAAGGTAAGAATTTTATTTACTTTAACTTAAAAGTAGAAAATTTTCACATTTGATTATGAATGTTTGTGAATGTGTTTGCAGTGAAGTGAGGATAGAAGGCTTGGAGACGGTTGACTACCTTGATAATCTTCGCCAAAGAGAACGTTTTACAGAACAAGGAGATGCTGTAACTTTTGAATCTGAGGTAAAGTATTGAGTTTTCTCAGTGTGACCTGTTAAAAGCATTTAGAAATCTAATAATTGGGGACTAATTCTCTGATGGATTTATGAAATTTTCTAATTTCGACTATTTCTAGGTTTTACAGTTGATGTGTCTCTTATTCTTCTCCTCTTAAATTTCTTTTGGAAAGTGCTAACTCTTTTTCTAGCCCAGAGTTTCTTTTCTAATTCTTCATGGAATTTAATGATTTTGAAACTACTTTCACTGCTTGTTAGGGAATATGCACTACTGAATTTTTGGTACAATGGAACTGTTGATTTTGAGAAAATGCAGATTGGTATCTCATACATTTGCTTCCAAAATTGAATGAACTCTCTCCCAGTTAAATTCTTGGCGCAATCCGATTTCTGAGGCTTACTTTTTATCTATTATTTTTTCTGCTAGGTGGACAGAGTTTATCTTCGTTGCCCTAATGTAATTGCAGTGCTTGATCATGAAAAGAAACGAACATATGTTATAAGAAAGGAAGGCCTGCCTGATGTTGGTAAGCTGGCACCTGCCAAACATTTTTATTTTGCTAATTCGGGAGGAAAAAAATTGTATCAAGACATGTCATACATTGTGATAATTTCAGTGATTTTTTTCTTTTTAATAGAGAGACATCCAGTTACCCAATTACACAAGAGGCTTAACTAAAAGTTAAAGTGTGATTCGTATTGATGAATTTACGTTCCAGATGATTTTATCTAGTGTTTTTCTTGTGTGTGATATTTGATGGAATTTTCTGGCCTTTTTCTAAAAAAATAATAATTCCTTTTCGTTTAACAGTGGTGTGGAATCCATGGGAGAAGAAATCAAAGTCAATGGTAGATTTTGCCGATGAGGAATATAAGCAGATGCTATGTGTTGATGGAGCAGCAATTGAGAAACCGATTACACTGAAACCAGGTGAAGAGTGGACAGGGCGATTGCAACTTTTGGTAGTGCCTTCAACTTTCTGTAGTGAACAATTTAATCTTTAGTATGAAGGACTTTTTGAAATATGGTACAAAGTTTTCAATTGTAAATGTTGTGGTTTCATAGTTGGTAGTTGCAGAAATAGTTCAATTTTGCATTGAGACATAAGATTGATCACTCTTATTTCTAACTCTCCATTTTTCTTTCTACCTTTCTTTGTAAACCATCAGTATTTACGCGAAAAAACTCTCCGTTTTATACTCTCAAACCCATAATTGTAGAATAGAAGATGAAATATATGGACCCTTTTGGTTTTGGAAGAAGCCGGCAATTCAAACACGTTTTTAATGTATTATGGTAACAGGTTGGATGCAACAAGAATAGTTGGTTTGGTTGCAATTATTCCCAAGTTTAATTTGTCGGTGAAATTATTAATAATAATAGACATTTCACCATAAAATGTTAGTTAGGTCCAATTGTTACATCAAATTTTAAGTTGCTTACTGATATTCCATTATCTATTTACCGTAGACTGCTATTCTCATCAACACTGTTGGGATTTGGCTTTCGCACTTAATAATCCAAGTCCAAGGACTTTATTTAAGTCAGTTTCTTTTGAGTGCAACGTGTCCTTCACATGATACATTCCACGTGTCCTTATATATCCATGTGGAGAGTATGGTATGAAGAAAAGTGTGAAAACCTTAGTGCCATCTCAGCATTTGTAAGCGCGGCGCGTGAATCTTGCTGAATGGATTGTTGCCACTCGTACCTTTTAGCTTTCCATAAGAGTAAAGAGACAAGTCCTTCCTTCACTCCTTTGTTTCTATAGCCTTCTAACTCTTTTTTTTCTCTTTTTTTTTTTTTTTTTTAAGTCTTAAATTTTACCTCTTTCTCTGTCCTTCTCTCCCATGTTTTTAATGACTTTGTCATCGCGATCCGATTTGATGAATTTGAGATCCCTTTAATCTTCATAATTATCATCTCTTCAGATCTATGTTTTCTGAATTCAGTTCCATTTCCAAACTAAGTTCTTTGCATGTTCATGTCTCTTTGTGCTTTTCATTACTCTCATCACTCTATTTAATTTCTTCATTCCAAATCTTGTATTACCTAGAAAACATTTCATCGAATTTTATACACAACAGAAACTAATTTGATCATCATCCAAGCTGATCAATTGCCCTCCAATTGCTATGAACTTTTTCATTCCGGCGTCTTAATTTTTCGAAGATCAACAATGGCTGACGTGCAGAAAGGGAAACCTACACTCCAAAAGCCACCGGGTTACAAAGACCCAACCGTTCCGGTCCAGCGGTACCCGAGAGCACCACCACGAAAACTAGTCCTCCCACCATCCTTCCACCAAAAGAAGAAACGCAGGAGCTTTCGTCGTATTTGCTGTTGCTCCTTTTGCATCCTAATGTTAATCCTTACCATCATATTTTTGATATCTTTTGCAGTTTTCTACCTCTGGTTTGATCCAAAAGCCCCAGTTTTTCACCTGCAGTCACTTTCGTTTCGACACTTCAACGTCAGTGTAAAAACCGACGGCACCTACCTGAACGTTGCAACGTTAACAAGAGTAGAAGTACGGAACCCTAACGAGAAGTTAACGTATTATTATGGTGGGTCCGAAGTGGAGATGAGTGCAGGGAAGGATAAGGATATAGACTTTGGATCAACAAATTTGGCAGGATTCACTCAAGCCAAAAACAACATGACGAGTTTAAAGATTGAGACGAAGAATAACCAGCTGGTTGAAGATGGGGTGGGGCCAAGGCTGATGAGTCGTTACAAAAACAAGGATATGGTGGTGAATGTTGAGGTTCGGACGACCGCTGGTGTTGAGTGGAATGGCTGGAAGATAAGACCTTTGGGTGTTAATGTCTTTTGTGGTGGTGTAACTTTGAAGACTCTTAATCGAGAAATGCCCAGATGCACCATTAATTTACTCAAATGGTAAGTCTTTTTTTTTTTTTAATCTCTACATACAGGAATTTTGTTTGTATTAGAGAAGTTATATGTATTTTAAATGATATTCACATGGAGATTTCTGAAAGTTGACAAGTCTAACGTAGATTGTTGTAAATTAATTTTGAGCGCAGGATCAACATCCATTGATGATAGAAGAAGACCGATGTTTTCAACATGATGATATGATATATACAATTCTTGAGACTATTATTTAGCAAATTGAAGGATATGTGTCTGTGTCTAAGCTTTGGATTCTTTTTGATGTAATGGGTTGGATACATGTAGAAATGGGGTTTGTATAAATTAATTTATTTTTGTTTATAAATTATTATTTAATTTTCTGGTGGTTGATTGGTTTTCTTAATAGTTGAAGAATCTTTTCTTTAATTTTTTGGGGTTGGAGATAGATAGGACAGGCTGCCATTTTCTTTCAATAAGAAACAAAATAAATATGGTGTAACATCCATTTTTGTATGCCAAGGTGTCACATTTGAGTTAAAGTTAAAACACTGCTACTGCATGAGTGCCTGCCTCGTCAAGTAAGGATAGGATTGGTATATTTTAAGTTACTATAGAAGAAATACATATAGGCTATAGCTGTCAACTTTTTTGAAGTTTTCAAACTTTATGGTTTTTTCTGTAACTGACTCATCACCTAACTTTGGTTTTGATACTTTATTAATATTTCTTTCTACTATTACCTGCTAATTAAAGCATGCCCGCATGCATCTTCTTCTTCTTCTTCCTGTCTTCTTTTAAATTATATTCACGAACCTTCTGTAGATTGTCTCTTTCTTAATATAACTAGCACCGACCAATTTTAATTTCCATGCCATAAGACAATCACCTTCACCTCTATATACATAAATATATATATCTTCGTTTTATTTATTAATTTTGCAGAATAATGTGCATGTTCAATAATGCTAGGAAAAAAGCAAATAAATATGACCATTGACACATTTGAATAGTTCTAGATTTATGATCATGTCTTATGTACAACCAGACTATTAGTTATTTTTCATTATAAAATTGATAATTTCATTTATAATGTTCCAAACTTATACATAAAAATTGTGATTACTATTGAATAAAAGATAATTCAGCTAAGACAAAGATAGTATGGTATATAAAATAAAAATTTTATGTTTACATTATGGATGTATATATTTTATATAATAAGAGTTTCTATTAAATAGATTATGTTAATATTTATAAAAATTATGAAAAATTCGTATCGAGAAAATCTTCAAAGTCGAAATTGATTTAGGCACTGGAGAAAGAAAGTGAGAGTCAAGTCAAGATGTGGTAAAATCTCCAATCACAAACCAAAATAATTTCGATCATCTCCTGTCCAACCATAATCGTTCATTTACAATAACAATAATATTCGATGGGACCCAAATCAATCTACGTGTCAAAACCAGACTCGTAATAATAAAAAGAAACTTACAAGTTGCAATCAGCTATACCGTATCTTTATCTATACTTTGGTACATTTCCTCAAGTTTGTTCGCTCCTTCTCTCTAAACAACTCTGTCTCGTACATCAGAGAAGATCTTCGAGTTTTACTCATGGCTTCCAAGCGGATCTTGAAGGAGCTCAAGGATCTCCAGAAAGATCCTCCTACCTCTTGCAGTGCTGGTATTTTTTTTTTATTTAATTATATTGTGTTTTTATTAGCTTTCACGGTCTCTGGTTGCTTTAGGAATTCAATCTCTAATTTTCATGTATTGCTTTACATATATATGACTTTAAATGTTTCACCTTATTCATGTATTAATTTGTAAAACTTAACCGTTTCTGTATTGGATGGTGTTTGATTGTTAAATCAAAGTTTCTTGTGCAAATTTTAGGCACTTTCTTAATTGTGTGTTCTATTATTCGAATAGGATGTGTATTTAGCTTCTTAGATAATTCAATTCTGGTAGTTATTCTGTTGATTGCGTATTTTGGGTAATTTTTCTCTACTAATGAATTATGGCTTGTGTAGGCTTATTTCTGCGTTAAATATTGACTTTGTTAAACAATTCTGTAATTAATTTCAGAAGCTCAGTTTCGTTATGGAGGGCTGTAGATTTTGTTTTCTATCTCTGTGTTGATATTCGAGCATGTCTTAACTTCATCATGCCTTTGGATATATGTTTTGTTTGTCTTTCTCCTTTATCAATAAACGAGTATGCTTTTCATATTGTGTCTCTCTTTTTGAAATGGATTTGACACATTGATTTCCTAGAATAATTAAGGGTGTTTGATTTTGGTTGTGGTATTATATTTTTCTAAATGTCAAACTGATGTTCATCAAAACGTTTTAGTGAAATGTGCCACAATCCCTCTCACAGGTTTATGGTCTTCATCAGTTCAGGCCTTCAAAGATTTGATTCTTCGGCTAGTATGGTTTGATGAAAGTTATGACTACTTATGTCTTAAAGCTTAGTCATGCTCATATAGTAGTTTACTGTGTGCCATGTCATCGTTCACGGCTGTACTCAACGGGACTCAAATTTGTTGTACTTTTTTCATATTTGTCTTTGTCTGTAGCATTTGAAGAAAGATGAGATCAGAACTGAAATTAGTGTGATTGGGTTGTTTTGGATGATTTTAATGCAATTTGCAAATTGTTGGAAGCAGATCCAGGATTTATATTGTTTTCTTTATTCATAATTGCTGTCTGTAACTTTTCTTTTTTCTTGATGAGTATGATTGCTTCTTACCCTTGTCTGTCGTCACCTTATGTATTGATTCTCTCATGCCTCTTACTAATCATGCATTTGTGCTTATACTTTATTTTGTACTGGTGAGTATTAACTGTCTGAAAGGTAATGCACTTAATGAAACTGTTTTGAGTATATCTTGTATTACAGGAATTTGCATGTCCCAATATTTTCTCCAGCATTATAATTAGTTTCTAGGTCCACTTTCCTACATTATAGGCCCTTTTTTCTATATTAGTAACAGTTATCACAGTTATGTTAAAAGTAATAGAATAGTATATCTTTCAGGGAATCTGGTTTGTAGTTGTAGTGTGATAGGCTTGATATTGAGACATAATATGATTTCAATTAACTGGTGGTTTGGAAATTCTCAAGGTGTTATGTTTTGTGTTAAGTTTTTTGCCTAAAGAAAATCTTTGCTGTTGAAAATGAAGGTATTTTTGGTGGAAAAATAATTTATTTTTATTTTTCATTCCAATGATTTTTTTGCACTTATTGCCAAATATCATGTGATTATGACATATGATGCTTTGTATACTTATGCTGGTAGGTCCTGTGGACGAAGACATGTTTCACTGGCAAGCCACCATAATGGGTCCAACAGATAGTCCTTATGCAGGGGGAGTATTTCTAGTTACAATTCACTTCCCTCCGGATTATCCATTTAAACCACCAAAGGTGAAGCGCTATCTCTAATATTTAGTTATCAATGCTGCTGCGGCAAATATTATCTTTCTTTTACATAAAGGTCTGTGATTGTTGGGAAAAATTTCAAGGATTTTCATTGAATTAATGGAATGAACTTAAGAAGGATGAATTGTGTATGAAGGATTGATTTAATATGTCATAAATGCCTAGAATAGTTAAAACATATAATACCCTTTTGGTGAGAGGCTATGTATACATTTGAAGCATTATGGGATGAGTCATTTTTGTGTGAAATATGGGAGTTGACTAGTGAATTCCTTTGGTGGGAACATACAGAACATATCATGTTGTGTCTGATAAACCCTTTTCATGCGATATTTTGAGTTGTAAATATTCTTGGGGGCTAATGCTTTACAGGGGCTTGTGGAGTCGTGGTAGATAAATGTAGTTCACTGCAATTCTTTGATCTTATCTAAATTATTTCTATATCTCTCTGTTTTTGCAGGTTGCATTTAGGACTAAGGTTTTTCATCCAAATATTAACAGCAATGGCAGTATATGTCTTGATATATTAAAAGAACAGTGGAGCCCAGCCTTGACAATATCCAAGGTTCTGTTCTCTTGACAACTACTGAATTATAAAAATAAATAAAAAGACCAATAGATGCTAACTTGCCTACTCTAATATAAGGATTGGTATGATACATTAATCACCATCAGGAAGTTTTTAAATTATTGTTTTAGTCCTGTGATACTTAAAATTGTCACTGGATGCAGTAGTATTGGTAGAATTGTATTAGCAGGTTCCGCTGAATTTGGAGATTCTGTCATGGGCTGAACTCCTTGTGTGGTGTAGAATCTTCTTACATCTTCTGCCAGCATAGCCCAATGCAGGATTAGTTTCAAGTGGGCTATTCAGCCCATTTTTGTTTTTGAAATCAATGAGATACGTATTTTAAAAACGCATACCACTGACCATACTGGGGCAAAGTTTGGGCCAATCTGTAAGTAGTGATGTACATGGGTTGGTTTTTTTTTTTCCTTTTACTAATGTCCTGTCATGAACCAAAGTATTAAGAGCTGATGCAAGAGAAATGTTTGCTTCAGTAAAGTCCGCCGTTGTTTCTGCCAATAGGTCTAATGGCTTCTCTCTTCCTGTTAGGGTGTGAAGGGCGGTTCCAAGTACATCTCAATTTAGTTTACGGTAGTCACTGGCAAGCTAAATTAACCTATAAATATTAGCAAGGAATCACAAAATTATCTTTCTTAGACATTACGTTTTACTTTTCATTTTTTTTTTATTTTGGGCCGTTATTCACTCTTTCATGATTACTGTTTTTTGAGCATGTGGGAAAGGGTTTTTTTTTTTGACTTTTTCAGGTATTGCTCTCAATTTGTTCCCTCTTGACGGACCCAAACCCGGATGATCCACTGGTGCCAGAAATTGCTCATATGTATAAGACAGACCGGGCCAAGTACGAATCAACTGCTAGGAGCTGGACCCAAAAATATGGCATGGGCTAGGACAGTCTGTCATATCCTATTTATGTATAAATGAAAAATGAAGTATGATCTGTTTTCTTAACTCTGTTAATGGACAAGTGAAGATTGGATTTATACATTATCACACACCAAACAAAATGGCGTTTTAGCTTGTTTGTATTAAAATTGATGTTTAGAACCATGTAATTGTAAGATGGGTAGCTAATGTTTGTTAAATATGCAACTGTTTGTTAATCCTTATAATTTTAAAGTTCTGTGAAGTTTTGAAATCAGTGCATATGGACACCGTTATTTTGTGGTAGGCAACTAAATCCGCAAAAATAGGTGGTGCTAATATGATATGGTCATGAATACACAATTCAGAAATAAACCCTTCTCCATTTTGGGTTCTTACAATTCTGGTAAGATGTAAAGAAGGAATAAGTAGTTTGCTTTATCATACGAAATTACTTTCTTTTAAGCACTTAAATGGAATATTATGCTATGCCGACATTTGTACTTGCTGCTCTGTTTTAACCTTTTTACTGGCCAAATATACTCATCAGTTATGAAGCCGTTGTGCCTAGTGCTATAAGCCTAAGCATTGGAACCTCACGCATGCTTAAGCAGGTAAGAATAATTTGGGTTGGGTACTAGAACTTTGTTAAGCCGTATAATTATAATTATGTTATTTAGAACGTTGTGTATTGATGTCGTTTATTAATTATCGTTACCATGTTTACATTTTTTATTATTTTTTTTTTTTTTTGTTAATAAAGAAATTGTTGATATTGGTAAGAATACAAAATTTGGTGCGAGTATTTCTGATTTGAAATTTAGCAATAATATTTGCTAATAATCCGTTTAAAGCGTTTACTGATCTAAATTACTTTCCCAATGAAACGAATTATCAACTTACCTGTTCTTTTTTTTTTTTTTTTGCTTGTTTGGCATGTTTTTCATCAGGGACCACAGTTCAGCTGATGTGAAATGGTGAAGAGTAAAACAGTCAGATTATTTTAATTTATTTAATTGCTCAAGAAAGTTAAAAAAAAAAGAGTAAAACAGTCGTACGTATTGTTTCTTTTACTGGTAGGTTGAATGTGTATGAATTCATATAAATGAAAGTACAAAGTGTGATTAAAAAAAAAAAAACACCAATAAGTATAGGTCACGTGAAATAAATGAAGCAGAGATGACACGAATTAATGAGAAGGTCTTTTCAGTTGCCTACCTAACCATACACTGGTACACATACTTGATCCTTGACTTCAACCAATCTCTGCCTCTTCCTTTCTCTCCAAGATTGTGTACAAAATTTACCCCCACAATTTCATTCACTTTTCCCTCTTATACCCTTATTCCTTAATCACTGATTACCTTCTCTTCTAATTTGTCTTACATGCAATCATAACTCTTTTATGTGATTATAACATTATAACTTTCAACACGGTTATTAAATTATAATGTTTTTTTTAGCACTAAATTGTAACATATAATCTCATTAATTAACAAAGAAGATTATTATTATTTTTTAATACTACTCTCGAATTTGTACTAAAATTTAATGTTTGTTGTTCTGTTGCGTGCAAGAATCAATGAAGTGCTTGTGCCCCAAGACTTGTGTCGGTCAACGGTCAATCTTCTGTATTAAAAAATTACGGAATTAAATTAATTTGTTTTTTGGTTCATTTAAATTATTTAATGCATGAACAAATTATAAGTAGTTAAGTCGTTCTGACTTAATAAGAAAAATAGAAGAGATAAATGCTTCATGCTTGATGGACAAGCAAAAACAATTAACAGATTAATATCATATAATTGTGAGGTATTCCGTAATTTAAAATCTCTTTAAATACTTGAGAGGTTGATCTTCTGACAGTCAAACACCTCACTGACATGTTGGTGGCCCAATTATTTTCACCCGATATTTGTAACAGAATCGGTCTCTTCCTCACGTGACTCACATATTCAGGCTGTCACTTATTTCTCATCACAGACAAACAGGCAACAAGTTTAAACTGGGACCCATAATAAGGTATCCAATGAAGTTACAGCTGTGATACATTTTTCGTGTTGGCCTGTTGAAGTAAATATCTATTACTGGGCCCCAATCTCGTTTACGGAAATAAATTACCACGTGTTAAGAATCAACGGTCCTAATATAAGATGCGGCGGGTCGTTGGGGATCTCTGGTGGTCACCGGAGATACCGGTTGTAACAATCACTCTTTTTCTATGGATTTATTCTTTATTATTATTATCTTAATTCTCCAATTTAAAAATAATCAATCACTAATTAAAAATTCAAAATCGTAACTTCCCAGACAAAAATAAAGGAGAAAAAAAAACAAGTTAAATATTAAAAAGAAGTCAGGCCATTCAGGTTTCAGCTTTCAGGATTCTCCTTTAAAACTGCGATTCTTGGCCTTTTGACTCTTCCCTGCAACTGAAGCTCTTCTATTTAACTTATCTCCTTCACTTTCTCTCTCCACACTCTCTTCTCTACACCATTTCTGGTGCTTTTGATTTTGTTTAATATCTATTACTCATTCTAAAATGAATCAAGCTATTTCATCTCGTACCAAATACTCAGAACACCGCACCATAACCACTAAGCTTGTGAAGCCATCTAGGTTTCAAACAAAAGTTGTTCGCATTTTGGTGACTGATGTTGATGCCACTGACTCATCAAGCGACGAGGATGAGGATTACTCCTCGCCTGCTCGAGTGAAGAAGCACATTAACGAGATCAAAATTGAAGATTGTTCAATATTCACGAGTGAGAATGTAGTCAACAACAACAACAGAGACAGAATCACAAAGCCTATCCAACAAAAAGCAAGTGGCAGATCTAATGGCAACAAATACAGAGGTGTGAGACAAAGGCCTTGGGGGAGATGGGCGGCTGAGATCAGAGACCCTTCTCGGAGAACAAGAGTCTGGTTAGGGACTTTTGACACCGCAGAAGAGGCTGCCCTTGTTTATGACAAAGCTGCTATTCGTATTAAAGGGCCTGATGCTCAAACAAATTTCATGAAACCTCCTGAGAGAAATGATAATACGACACCGTTGGAAATTGATGTTGTAACGGTTTCTGGGTATGATTCAGGTAAAGAATCTCAGACAATATATTCACCAACGTCTGTTTTGAGATTCCAGTCAAATGAAAATGAAGAAGCTGAACAAAGAACAGAGTATCAACCTGAGACCGAGACTGATAGTGAATGGAGAAAAGTTCAAGATTGTTTGTTCTTAGATGAGGGGTTCTTGGATTCTGAAACACCTCCTCGGATATTTTTCGATGAGATGAGTGTGCCAATTTTGGCAGAAAATTTGGATGACATCTCTGTTAGTTTAGATGGTGATTTTGGGTCATGCATATGGGACGTTGATAACTACTTTCAGGAACATAGTTTGCCATTGCATTGACAATCAGTAATGGAGATATTTTGTTTCAATTAGTTGGTGTTTATCTTCATGTTTTGGTAAATTCCGAGTCGAATTTTGGGTACATAAACCACCAATTTCTTTCATCTGTTTCTTCTCTCCTCCAGGACATGAGTGTGTAAAGGTGCATGCATTTCACCAAGCATGTGTAAATTCTTAGGTTTAAATTTTTTTTTTTTTTTTTTTGTGTTTTTTTTTTTATGAAAAAAAAATTGGTTCAGTGTGAAACTATGAGGATGGAATGGTGTGCTTGTAGTCATTTTTGAGATTATTTTATGGCCGTTTTGATGTTGGTTGTTTTACTAGTTATTATTATTATTTGCTAAATACATCAAATGATGCGTTTTCCATGTGTGGTCCTCGATAATAATTACCAATAATATGTTTGTTTAAGTGTAAAATATAAAATTTTAAACATAACGATTATGATCATACATAAACTGTGATATTTTTTAAAGATTTGTAGAATTGAAGGTAAATCATTTGTAAATTTTATTGGGAAGAAATTTAAGTGAAACTGGAAAGTAGTACTCTGGAAAGTAGTACTCTATTTAGGTAGAGCTGAAACTTTTGACTTTCAAAAGTAGAAGAATTCATGTGAAGTGAATTTGATGATTCTGCATGATAACTACCAATCAATATGACCTAACACTCAGATCTTCAACTATATAATAATCACACTTAAATTTAACTTGTAAAAAACCCGAATTTAGAATAAACTAGAAATAATGGTTTAGTGGAGAAAGTGAATAGGAGGGCATAACAGTTAATGGTTATGGGATGTTGGGGAAATTGGCGCGGGAGAGGGAGAGTAGTCTCAAAAGTGTTTGGTTTAATATTTTTCCCTATCCTATTAATACTAATTCTAGAATACACATTTGTTTTCCTATTTTAAAAATACTATTATATTTTATTCAACTATTTTTAAACCTCCTAAGTTTATTAATTTAACAAAACACCCTTTAAAAAAAATTTAAAAATTGACAAAAACACTCCCACCCACCCACAAATTTCCAGATTTTGACCACCACCACCGTCAGGTGGCCAGAATTTGGTATAATGACACATTACCGACTGGATCTAGCCGATAGTGCGTCGATCTATCATTTTTTGATCAGATCTACGGCCAGATCTTTGGTCGTAGCTGGTCTTCAACGACGGGCAAGATATGGCCGTCGTTGACGACCAAACACGATCAGATCCATGGTGGATCTGACTAAAAAAGGTTATTTTGATACACGACCGGCCACATCTAATCGATCGTGCATCGATACAGTGGTGGTCGGCTATCCTCCGACAGTGGTGGTCGGCTATCAGTATTTAATGGGTGGGTGAAGGTATTTTTATAATTTTTAATATTTTTATTACAGGAGTGTTTAGTAAATTACCAAACCTATGAGGATGTTTTTGTTAATTTTTAAATCTTACTTCGTTATTTCCTACCAACTCTAAAAGCATCAAAAATACTGTCTCAAATACTAAAACAAAGGCACCTAATTGTTGTTTGTTCCCATGTTAAATGGTTGGCCATACACTATTTTCTTTCTGTATTTTTTGTAAGGCAGGCCGGGTGCAAATCCATGTTATATCTATCCAACATACAAGAAAGAATGAATCTCATGCTTCATTGTCATTTTTATCCACTTTCTCTCACTGTATACAATGGAGACGTCTTGATATATATGATGTCATTTGACGAAACCACAAGGACAATGCTGATCTGTAGTCCACACCCACAGGATTTTGAATCCTTAAAATGAAACGTTGGTCCCACGGAGATAGAGCAAGTAAAATGTCCTCCACTTGTAGCGGAACTTTGTTCAAGTCTTGAACAAATAAAACATATCTTGGTAATATGAGATGAATAAGCTTTAGCTAGGCCTAGGACATGACATCCATCGGCTTTTCTAGAATCCAAGACATGCCGGCATGCTGCTTTTCAGGTGAAATCCCGGCGTGCTTGAATCTCCGGTCACGACAGGTTTCTTTTTCTGAACACATGGTCAAAATTTAACAAAAAGTTTTATTTTGATTACCATTGCATGCAGGCTTTTTCAATTATATTTAAATATAAAATGTTTTAATTTGAAACAAAGATTTTCATATCGTACCCACTTGCAATACAAGTGCCCCGTCCTGTAGCTCTCTTCAAGATGTTGGAATCAGACCCACTTGCAGGCCTTTTGAAACAGTTCTTCTGTACACTGTTTATAACAATTTAATGCGTGTATATATATAAATATATAAAACAATGACAAAGCCAGAGACTCAGACTGAGGCTCATCTCTTTTGGCTATGTATTGTATGGCCCCATGCTAACTTCTTTCAAGGCCATTCGTCAACACACATTTTGGATCTTTGGTCTTGTCCTCCAGGTATATAAAGAAAAGGTAAATTACACATAAACCATCAGTCAAATGAAAACAAACTACCATGTTCCGGTAATTTGTAGGAGCCTACTAGCCTTCGCCTACACTGTGTCACTTTGAGCTGCAACGTCTCTGCGACTCTGTCATGGCCTATATTAATTAGAATTTACACACTAGTCAAGCTGAAGCCGAAAGAATCAAAGAATGGTTAAAGTCAAAAAACTCAGAAATAGTCACATCAAAGAGACAAAAAAACAAAATCAGATCTTCGTTTATGATTTGGTACACACTACAGCTAATTAATGCCGTACATGTTTGTCTGATATGGGACGTTTCTCACGCCTTCGTTCTGCTGCTGCACTGCACCTATGCATGGCATGCTGATATTGCCTCCCCCACCTCTCTTTCTTAATCCACGTGTTAAATACAATCAAGTTGATCTTTTATTTCGACGTTGAACACGATGTACCAACACTGTTTATATAATATACCTAACAATAACAGTGAATTCAAATGTTCAGATTTAGACATAAACGAAAAAAGAAAAAGAAGAAAAGAAAAGATAATACAAAGTGCAAAAATAAAGATGCAAAACATCATATTTTTGACCCTTCTAATCATGAATGATAACACCTTTTATGCAATAAAAAAAATTTACACATAAAATTTACAAATACTATTAAGGTATATATCTTCAGTCTGAATCTTAATTGGCCTGGAACTCTCAAGTTTTTAGCCAGTAGATGGCCTCAAATCGGAATGGCAATCATGAAAAAGTGAGCTACGGTTAAGGGTAATGTCAACAACAAATCTAATCAATTCAGCATATTGATTGAACTTTAAATTTAATAAATCCAAAAAGATAGGGGCCTGTAAGGTCCATTTCACTTACTGATTATAAATCTCATGAGACCTTGAGCAATCTCTAGTGGGGTATATGACTCATGCCATTCTTTACTTAATTTTTTTAAATATAAAGTTTGATGATGAGGTGAGGGAAATGAATGAAGTGTGTTTGTCAAATCTGAACCATTGGGTCCTCAGGCATCCCCCCTCTGTGGCCTAAAGGACCAATATTCTACTCCTGCTTTGTCTGTAAATACGTTATGGGCAAAAAACTATTCCACTGCAGTCTGCCACAATGTTTTCTTTAATCTTTTAATTTATTTCGCGTATAAGTTATCTCTGCTTTTGGGTCCCTTATGGACATTAATGCCCATCAATTGAGGTACTTAATTGGGTCGTTTGTCAAATTGTTTGTTAATACTCTAGCAAGACCCCATTGAGAAGTCGGCATGAAGCAAAAAGGCATCTAAGCAGCAATTTAAGTTTGAGTAAACGACTATTCCCACCCAAGGTTTGACGAAATCTCATGTTAGTACCCCTAGTTACATTTATTTCAAATTTATATTCTTAAAGTGACAGAAAAGTGTTTGATGTAACGGTAAAGGGTTAAATTAGTCATTTTGCATGAACAGCGCATGTTAGCAGATTGTCATCTCTATTAGTCCTCCGGCACATGTTAGCAGAGGTGGTGTCCCTGAAGTTTTTTGCCCTTTTTTTGGTGATTCTTCCATCCAAAATCACCGTTGTCATCACCATTTGAACCCTCATCCTTCCCGCTACAAAACATTACCCTTCACAACCCTTCATCACTCACCGATTGTCGGCCACGGCAGCCACGAAATACAACTGGTTTTTGCCGGTTTTCAACCACGTTGAACAGTGACAACCCTAACCACCACCACCACCACCATTTGACTCTTCGCATTCTTCCCTATAAAACCCCTAACTTTCCCAGCCACGACAGCTCACCATTTTTCGTACACCACTTCACCAACTAAACGGTTGGTGAGGACATAAGGGTTTTATAGAGTTGGAGATGTTGGTTGTAGTAGTGGTATCCAATTGGATTTTCGCTACCAGAATCGACCGAAATTTGGCGAAGAATAGCGAAACCCTAAGCCTAATGACGTCGGCGATTGGAGGGGCCAATGAGTCGGGAACTAGAGGGGTTTTAGACGAAAAACTACGGGAAGGTGATGGAAGTGACCAGAGGGTTCAATGCCATTGAAAACAGCCCCTAAATTACGCTTTATAATTCTACTAATTTAGGGGTTAAAACATAATTTATTAACTTAGGGTTAAGGGCATTATGATAATTGCACCCTCTAAACCCTCAAAATTGCTAACAATATTATTTTAAAAATGAAAATCTGGAATAAATATAACTAGAGATATCAACTTCGGATTTCTTGAGACCTTGGGTGGGAATATGTTCTTTTACTCTTTAAGCTTATCTGATTCGGTCATTATACAATATGACCCTATTGAGCGTGTGTAATTCTCCACTTATCATGACTGTTTTTGTGTCTTTGGGCGATCAAAGAGCCAAATCACTGTGCATGCAATCATTGAGAAACGACTAACGAGTAATGCGATTGATTAGATTAGCGATTAGAGAGCAGAGGCACAGAACTTATGGACCCAAAAAAAAAATAAAAAAAATAAACCATGCACAGTAATCAGCTGGCCCAGCTTATAGTGTTTATGATCTGAAATGGAGCTTCTAGATTTGGCCCATTCATATTACATAATGAGCCATGGTGGCATTCTGCCATACCAAAAAATTATTTTATTTCGTCTAAATTGTAAGTATGCTATAGCTATAATTACAACAGTCACACTTGCACATACATGATACACATGGAGATCATGACATAGACATAGCATTTGGAAGCCTGATGGTCTGGACCATGGGGGCATAAACTTGTTATCATGACATTCATGAATAAATTAATGTGATGACAGTGAGACTGTGGGGTATCAACAGCTAAGTTTTAGTTCCAAACAGAACTTCTCTTTAAAGCAAATCCACATAAAAAAGATAAAAAGAGAAAGAAAAAGATGGAAAAATGA